ATATTACGTATTTTCTTGCAGGATTTTCACGATCTTGCTCTGAAAACCATAGTGTCATTGAGATAGCCTGAAAGCAGTTCCGCAATAAGGTGTTATTTCACTCAAGTATTTTATCGCTAAATACAAAATAAAATGCTGAAATGATAAACTTGTAAACCTAATGATATCAAACTCTGTTATAGGTTACTCCTAAATCTCCAGTGACATCGTGCTATTGTTTTCCAGTCAGGTTAATCTTATAAACAGGGATGTTATAATATCCCTGGGATTTTATTCAATATCATGAGAATTCTATTAATACAACTTGTTTAGATTGTAACATATGAATGTTTCTCAACAGAAATTTATTTTGCATTTGAACACAATGTAATGAAATGTCAAATCAAACGAGAAATATTTTCTTTATATCCCCAAGGATTGAACACACAACCTTCGTATCTGTAGCCCAGTGAGTGTACCCTGATAAATCACAATGCTTTTGAGAATGTCTTTTTCAAGTACCCCTACACCAGCAACAGATATTTTATGCCTGTTTCCTAAGGTTCACGTAAAGTATATTTGTAACATATAAATGTTGATAAATGTTGTTTTAAGTCTCATTTTCGGTTTATAAGTTAGATAAAAAACTTACCCTCTGGTTTTTAACAGATTTCAAACCCTCATCTTCAGGATAAAACCTCAGGGCTGATGCCCCTCGGTTTTATTCCATGGATTCCTTTTTTAAATCTCATAAAAACCCTCTTACTTCTTTTATTCTACACATAACTTTTGCTATGAAGTCTTTGACATACATTTAGAGAAGATAGACATGTATGTGACACTTTTTATGGATAGTAAGCTTTTATTCTTTGTGACGATGTTTCTGGTATACCTCTTGCCCCTTCATCAGGTGAATACTGAGGAAACATATTGAGTTAATTTATATTTATACATGCTGTTTACACAAGGTATGATTAATATACAATGACAATATAATGATGAAGCGAGTGGGGTTGCCAGGAGAGAAGCCAATTAAGCACACTGAAGGTGTAGTGATGGATCTGGGTGTGATAACAAGGAGCCGACTATGGTAACTATATAACAATAAGGCAATCAAGATGTCCATTTGCGGTCAATGATAGTGTTAAAGCACAGCAGAGTACAGCGTTCCCATTTACCAGTAATTACCAGTATTTTTACCAGTAAAATTAGGCTTGGACCAGTAATTCATGTGACTGCCAGTCCCTGTGGACCGGCAAAGAAAGTACCTCATAAATCAGTATTGTTGAACAAAACATCAGTGATATTCATATAACTTTTAAGTACATTTTTCAAACAAAGTCAGCTTGTCTATTACCATCAGGGCTTCCCCTTGTGTATTTCTAGGAGTTCCAAGTGGTAACTATCAATATTTGTAGTTAAAAACATTATGCTTGTTTTCTAATAATATCCAAATCAAAAGCTATTCAAGCAGTTTCACAGAGCAAAGGTGGGTCACATTACAAAGAAAGTACAGTTATATTTATCAAGAGCACTGACAATGATTGATACTACATGTAATATGTGTGAAATTAATTGAGGCAACAATTCCTTTTGACGACATCTGCTCTTCAAAATGTTCAGTTTTTCACCTGCATGTCTGAGTGGCATGAGTGTATCAAGTATTGCTTGAGTCTCGTATATGAATCATTACTAAAATAATAAATAAAGCCTTCATGTTTCTGCCTTTGCAGGGGTAGAAACTAACAGTTTCAGCCCACTAGTCCTGATAATGATAACATATAGCAAACCCCTTAAAAATGGCAAATTCTACTGGTCCTTGTGATACCTTAACTATTGGGTAGTTTAGCAAGGACTACAGGACTAGTGCCAATTTCTAACGCTGCTTTGCCATGTTTACCATTATCTAATGAACTGAACAATGCAAAGGCATTAAATATTGTATTATTAGTGAGTGAGTTACGTTTTACGCTACTTTGAAAGCGTGAAGTGATGCAGGTCTTAAAGACGTCTATCGTACAGAGCTACAGATAAGCTGTGTATTGCGTGAAATACCCCCCAAAAATATTCAAAACCCAATTACTTTCAATTAACTGGCGTACAGAAACGCATGCATTAAATGAAAAACTCAAATGTATAAAAAGAGCACGCATAAATACCCAATGAAGCTTTTTCAGCATGCGTACAAAGTTCATTTCCGAAACACAATTACAACAATTTAATTTCCAAGTCAGGCCTACATATTTAGAACAGTTATATCCACCTTAAACATTATTTCATTTTTTTTCAATCTTAAAATGTTCACTCTTTTGGGGAAGAACCCAATAGAGTGATGACTAGATGAGTGAAAAAATATTGGTTACCCAATGAAAAATGTCATTGGTCATAACCCAATTTAAATAGAAAACTTAGAGTAAAACCTCAATTGATCAAAAGGTAATCTGGAGCTCTGATCGTAGGGTTCTGACAAAACTATCATCATAAATTAGTAGGAATCTTGGAATCTAATATTGTATGTTTAATGGTGCCAACTTTGGAAATTTTTTGGTATTCAGCTGGTGGTAAAAGGCAAACATAGTCCTGGATTACAGTCTGTGACACAAACTTTTGAATCTTTTGTTTACCATATTATTTCCTTGAGATTTTAGACTTAACATGCAGGCTACTATTTATGAAACATCTCTGAAATTACAAGGCAGACATTTGACTTGTCCTGGGCTTTAAAAAAAATGAACGAGTGGCTAAAGTTGTAGACAGACATAGCAGTAATGTTTGTTCCAATATGATTTGACGAAATGCCAATCATGACTATGATCAACACCTAAGCCTTGTAGTTCGATTGCCAGTATTAGTTTACATTATAATTTTAAGTAATAGTCACTCAGTAGGCAGCATTTCATGCTTACACCAATTAAGTCCAAAAGAGTTACACACACATTTGCCTTTCAATTTTCAAACTTGTAAGTATGTGTTTTTACACCATAACGTATTGTATGTGCAACTGTCACTGCAGCTGATAAATAACTCATATACTCTCTATATTAATTACAAGCAATGGTATGAATGACAACTTCTTTTATTACAAAGTTTTCACCGGGTGAAACTAGATGTGCAATTGGTTATTACATGGCCCAAACCTATACCATCAATACCTATTAGGCAGCGTTAGAATTTGGCACAATTCCTCTAGTACTTGCCAAAATGCCCAATAGTTAAGGTACTAGTAGAAATTTGCCATTTTTAAGGGTGTTTCTATATATTATCATAATAAGGTATAGTGGACTAAAAATGTTAGTTTCTACAGATGTTAGGTAATCACAGCGTTAGCCCTCCATCATTGAATATCTCCAAATCATTCACCAACAATCACCTGTAAAAAGTACTGGCTTCTACTTATCATTATCATGTTATATTAATTTAATTGTAATCAGTTTCATGTTGTCAGAACCAGTCACTATCTGTAAGTTTTCACAACCTTGTCATGATGAGAATATATGTTGTCATCCATACAATTGATTTATTTACTATACCAGAGTCCTACTATGCCATTCATGCCAATGAAAGAATACTATTTCTTGTATTTTCGTATACATGGTATGGGTTATAGCTAAAACGGCACCTCAGCAAAACGTCACCTGGCGAAAACGTCACCGATTGGCGAGAACGTCACCTCGCCTCAAGCGAAAAATAAAATAAATGAAATTAAACTAACATGGTTGCTTGCAAACACCAATAATTGTGAAATGTTAAAACAAGTTTACATTAGAAATTAGCCTCTACTCCAACTATATTCCAACTTAGCCTATACGCAACTCAACTTATTGTAAAAACAACATGCCTTGAAGTAAAATAAATGAAATTAAAGTCACATCGTCTCTTACAAACACCAATAATTGTGAAAAGTTCAAACAAGTTTACATTAGAAATTAGCCCCCTGAGTCAACTACTATCACAATGCTCGGTGGTACATGTTTTTGCCAGAGAAATCGGTGACGTTTTGCTGAGGTGCCATTTTAGCCTGCACCCCATGGTATAGTGACATGTATTTTGTTGGCTATGAAGAATGGTAATTAAACAAGTTGATGAATCACATGAGTAAACTGTGTCATTCACCTGTTCTCCTGAATCAAATTTGATTGGGCCTAAGCAATTCTATAAAGCAGTGGTGAAAACAGATCACAAGTATTTATTTGGAACCATTTATCGGTCAGTGCCATCTTGTCACTCTGCAAAGTACCAACTTGTGTTGGTGTTCCTACACGAGCCTTCTGAAATGGTGTAAAAAGGACATAATTTAAGTTTGTCAACACATGTCTTCTTGTAACTTGTTAAATAGCCGAAATATATATTCGTTGGCCACATTTTGACATGAGACACATGAATTTCTGTTATCATGTGGAGAATGTGCCTGTCATATCAGTATCCAAACTGGGCTTGTCAGATATATTGAGAATACCGCAATGAAAAACATGCGACAAAGCAAACAGCAAGCACTCTTACAGATATGCAATTAAACCTACCTCAGATAACTTCACACATGAAAACCTTACTTGAGTTGTCAAATAATACGGTATCACCACTGCTCTGGCTCTTGCCCTCTAGGCCCTAAAGAGAGCCGCCATTTTGTTATTTTTGTCACGTGATAAATCAAATTAAAAGCCAAATATTATATTAAACTCATAACATGCGTGCACTACAGTTAGTCATGCAATTTCGACACACAATCATGACCATTGCAGAACTGATGAAAAATATCAGAAATATTGATGAAAATCGTCTGCTTTTCTTTTGAGGTCAGCAATGTACCATAGTCTGTTGGGCTCGACGGGGAAGTAAAAAGTAAAACTACCTTTTCGTCTACAGTTACTTCAATATGTAACTTATTCATTTCAAATTATACAAACATACTTTTGTGTTTGAAGCGAATAGGAAATCAATCTCGATATTTTGCAGCAATGGGATTTTTAAATTAAAATATTGTTCGTGTTTGCCGTACATTTAAGACTAGGGTAGAGCCCAAATTGTGATAGCAGAAGACGCGAAAATGGCGACGACAAGACTAAAGGAAAAGGCTGCAAAAAGAAGTTTAAGGGACCGTCAAAAGAGCGGTATAACAATTTAAACATTTTAATCGAGTTACCATTTATACGTTTGAGAGAAATTCGCACCGCATTAATGCTGTTGTTTACGACTTAAGACATATGGAGCAAGACGTCGGCTGCTACGGAGCCATGTTGTAAATTGTTACTTTGTTGTCATTTGTTTCACACAGTGATAACAATGTTTCAAATCTTAAACAACGTCGAGTACTGTGATATTGATACCAAATGAAACATTGTTTATAGTATCAATTAGTTGCTTACAGGCGATGCGTTTAATAAAAGCTATAATGTTCGGAGACGACGAGCGGCGTGTTGTGACAGACGAATCCAAAATGGCGGATGAAAGAATTACAACTTTTCGGCGCGAAAGATTCAGCTTATTCTCCAATTACTGTGCATAGAGCGTCACAACAGTTTCTACAATCCGTTCATTTCTTACATGCCAATACACCCAGATCTGCTGAGAAGCCAACCCTACACGTGCTGTGAAAATCATTATCAGTCCTCCGCCAGGAATAGTCGTGTTTGTAGACTATCAAGTTCTTAGCCCTGCTGCCATGTATATACTATTCTGTTACTTATGTCAAATGGTTCATTCTTAAATTTATTTGTCAGAATTTGAAAATATTAACAATATGAACAGAAAGAATTCTCTTTTAATTTTGTAAAGGCATCATAAATGTTAAAGATAGTAGGCCTACAGTGATCTCAGAGCAGACCTTTAACTTCAAAGAAAATAATTTACAATAGAACATTAGGTATGACAGTACGACAGTGTATCTCTCCTGAAACTGTCAAAAGCAAAATATAATCTACATTAATACTGAATTGTTAATGTTAAAGATTTTGTAAGGTATATATTCAAAACTGTTACTTACAACTTCACAGATCTACATTTCCTGAATGTAAAATAATAGATTACCATGCATTGGGAACTATTCCACAGAGAAAGTAATCACTGTTTTCATCACATTTATGACATGGTGTTTTATACTTAAATTCTTCTGGCACAAATGTAAATATTCTGGCGTAAAATGAATTGATACACCATTTAGTGAATTTGTGTTGTCTGCTAAATTATAGGTGCAAAGAATAAATAAAAAACAGACATTCTAGAGCTAGAAAGTCATTGTTTGACAGTTGTTTTGATAGGGATAAATTGTAAACAAAGACAGTGGAACAACCATTAGATTAGATGCATGTTGTTAAGGGAGAGATAGCAACTTTGAGGTTTCTGAACATTTGTCCAAAATTACAACATTTTTTCAAATGAGAAGCTTTTAATGCAAGTAAAGAATATTTGACAATAATGAAGGTATGTTCACATCAGTGGCTAATATAAAATAATATCATCTCTGTATTGTAAATTTTCAGCTGGACCACAGGTATCACAAAGAGGAACTCGGAGATCATCAAACAGATTACCAGCATCCACCAATGACAATGGTGATGTGGAGACAAGTGACAGTGAGGCAGAAGAACAGACCTCTTACATGTCACTGGATGTTTTGGCACAGGTGGCATCAGCAACATTGGAAAAAGAACCCAAGTTTAATGAGAAATCACTCACTCCTAAAAAGGTTGTCAACTTTTCATTATCATATTTATTGCATATTTACAATTTAATTTGGGTAAATATAAGTATGTCATTAGAAAAATACCAATAAGACAGTATCTACCTTTGCATTATAACACTTAGCGGTTTTATCAAATGGTACGATATGCTGGTATGTAACAGGGCTGTATTTTGTTATTGACATCTGAAACAGAAAAAGTGTATACCAATTCCCATATTTAGGTGTAATATTCATCTATTTCAGGGAAGTATAATATATAACAGTCTAGTGTATTTGCAATATTTATTCCACAGCTGACCAAGCGTAGCATACAATCTCTGGAGGTTCTGAACCTTGACCAGATACAAGCACTTTCCGACAAGGCCTTGCTCAGCCTGTTCAGCGATATGACGTCTAATGAGATGACTCGTAACTACACATACACTTGCTATCTCATGCCAGACAAGTGCAAGGAGAAGTTCACTAGCTTTGGCAATGAGACACGTGCACGTATGAAGATGAGGACACACTTGCTGAGTCACATTGAACAGCTGATTGATGATGCAAATGGTATGACTTTTGAGCAAGCTGTGTAAATACTTGCCCCAGTAGCATTTCCTGATTTGCAGTATCCCAATAATCTTCGACTTGTAAAGTTTCAGTAAGACTGGTAATAGTATCACAAGGTTAGAACGAAACTCCAAAGCTTTACTGGCCCAGGTAAAGATATAATGCCTTTATAATGCTAAAACAATGGGGAAATTGGGAAATTTGTACTCGCCCAGAGGGATTTGTAATAGCCCGGGCTAGCGGGCTAGTTTTAATTTCTATCCCTGGTATCATTCTATCTCAAGAAGATAGACCAAGGTTTTATTTTATCAGTTATGTTTTGGTGCTCACTTGAAAGTCCCATTTCTTTTCAGATCCAGATCTAACGGAGAAGTTTGTCTTCTCGGCTGTACCTGTCACTGTGAGAAAGAAAAAGTTAGCAGGTGGGAATGACCATTATGATAGATACAAAGTTATGTCAGGTAGGGATGAAATGATAAAGCAAAGTCATGATACAATACATATACTTACATCAAATCGCGTGGAAATGTCTTGACTATAAATATTTCAGAGCATGTTTTAAAGAGAAGCTAGCTGTAGACACATGTTCATAGCTGCTATTTTTAGTAGTGAACTTGGAACGCCAATTACAACACATTTTTCAGTATTTGACAGACATAATTGCTGCGGGTCATTAAATGAGAAGGAAGTAAAATCTTTCAGCAAGTGTTTTGTGTTTTATCGATTCAGAAGAAAACGTATTGTGTATCGTATTGTTGCATGAAAATGTACGATGCATCGGTGCACTGCTTTCATTCCTAATGTCCTTCAGATTAAGAACCTTTAACGTTTGAATGTTAAATTAAAAGCATAGCAAGCATGGACATTAAGTTCGTATAGTTGCGGTATATAGGTAGTATAACCACAAATCACCCCCATTATATATTTTGGAATATCAGGCCCATTATCTTCAGATGTAATGAATCACTCATCCTGTAAGTATAAGTATCAATCTGAAGCCCTACTATAATTACTTTAATTCTTGCTGTGCTGATTTTGATACCATAGTTCTTACTGTAGAAGCTGGCAAAAAACGAAAAACTCCCACTCAGAACACCACATCATCAAGTCCTGGGAAAGCAAAGAAAAGCGCCAGTCCAATTGCCAAATTCACTGCACTAAAGCCTAGTAGAAAGACAGTCTCAGACCCTAAAGGCAAGCCATCTAACAGTCCTGCTTCGAAGGCCAAGTCACATTCCAAAACTGACAATTTCAACAGAAATTCAGAAGAGGAGGAAGTGAAAGAGAATTCATTGAAACGTAAAAAAACCAATCGAGCCATCTCGCCAAACAAAAAGGACATGGCTAGACGGTATGCCCACAAGAAGTCAACATTGCAAACTGTTGGTGCTGACAGTGGCAATCAAAAAGACACAAAAAGTGGTGCTACAAAAGTGAAGAAGGAGAAATTAAAAGGTAAACATGGAAGCAGTGGAGAGAAGGGAGAAGGATCTGAGAACGAGAGTGATGATAACTTGCATGAAGAGACAGAGCGGCGTATTGAAGAAAATGAACAATTTATTATTGATTTGCTGAGTCGGACTCAGCCTCACCATGACCACTGTTACACCACCATATTTGGTAAGAAACGTGGCATCGAAACTATGCACTTCGATCTGGAGTCCTCGGGGGAGGAGGAGAATGGAGTGATAGATGTGTGTGACAATGGGTCTGAGGACAGTGAAAAGAGGAAGTCCACCAAACCCATCATGTTGCTACAGCTTCCTGCAGTTGCTGAACTCCCGATGGTGAGCATGGAGGAGGTGGTGAATGAGTCAGAAGCCAGCAACTCTGATGAGGATGATGAGGATGGTGAAGGACACAATGGGGAAAGTGAGTGTATCGTTACTCTTTGAGTGAGTGAGTGAGTGAGTGAGTTGGGCCTCAACACTGCTTTGAACAGTATTTCATTTATTTCATGGCTTGTCAACTTAATTCAGTACAAATCTGAGATTCAAACCCATGACCCTGCTAAGGAATGCAACTCAGCATGTGTAGCATGCTGCACATAACTTGATTAAAACCTGTCTGTGCATTGTTGGAAGTAATTGTGTGAGTTGATTGCCAGTTACTGTGTTTATTCATATGTTTATATTTAAATGTTTGTTGTGTTCATTGATATTCCTGCATTCTGATTAGCTGAATTGGTCACATGTTATTGCATTCATTTCCCAATGAATGTAAAAATCTAAACGAGGCCCACTGAGGCGGACTACTTTCGTTACTACGGAATTCGTCATCAATCGCCCCTTTCCATAACCTGCAAGAAGACTCGTCCCCCTATCGATGAATTTTATGTGTGAAAATACGACAAACCAATCAGAATGCGCATATTATTTCAAGTTCCTTGTCAAAGAATGCCTCAGAAATAATTTTTGATTTTACCAAAGACACAGTTCAATGTGTTCAATCATACTGTATAAAATATCCACATGTCCAAATGTGCTTTAAATTGCATCTGAAACATATATAATATATGGGGAAATATATGTGAACCATTACGCAATGAGTTGACGAATGTTTTAGGTATGCCCGTTTGCGCTAAGACGGAACCCAGTCACAAAAATGGCAATGAGAGGGGCACGAGTCATTATTCGGCTTGTCCCGGAATAACACAAGTTGGTCACAAATGGTCGGGGAATCCCAAAATTACATTCGAGGGAATTCCCTTTCTGCTTAAGAGTATCGATAGTCATGCACAGGACATTTAGCAAAATTCATGCATATTCATTGTCCAAACAACCCTTTGAGACCGTAGGCGGTGAAGGAATGAAACAGCAAACGTGCAGGCTGGCTCGCCTGTTTTTTTCCGCTCACCTCGGTTCCACAACTTTCATGTCTTCGGGTTTCATTTCTAACTAGAGATCTAGCATTTTTCCAACTGTGTCTCCCCGTTCTCAGAGAACAAATGTTTGAATCTTGTGGTAACTGACCACGTCATTTGGAAACAGCCGCCTTCTCCTGGACATATTTATTCTGGTTTGTTACAGTCTGACTGTTGCACTTCTTCTCGCCTCTTGCCTTGATTGACAGATCTTATGAACATTGTTTTGTTCCTACTCTCCGTTGATTGGCTACTGACTTAGGCGTGTCAAGTTATGTGCATAAATTAAACAATCACCTGATTCATGTCACGCCACCTGGAATGTTTATCAATATCTTCATTTTTGTCAGCTTTGATATATACACCTGTTTTTGGTTAAACTATTGTAGATAAAACATGTTTTCGTTGTCGAAATTCATACAGTTTGCACATCGGTTTTTTCGATTCATACTTCAATGAACCGAAAAAAATACAGTCAATCCTTAAGAGAATAATGACATGATGTTAGGTACAGTGTTTTGTGACTATGCTGATTATGATGAATCGCTTTGTTGACCAGAGCCATACCCACCAATGCCAAAGTCAAACCTGGCAAAGAAGGGGCGTCTGATTGTGCCAGAGGAGAATGCCTTGTACAGTGACCACGAGGATGATATCATAAGTCCGCGGAAGCGGAGGAAGATTGCTGCAGTGGAGAAGGGGGAACAAGCAGAGATCACACCAGAATGGGAACGGGTAAATTGAGAATTTAAAAAAAATCAGGGACAACATTGAGATTTTGAATCATGAGTGTTTGTCTTCGCTTTAATCATATGGACTTAGACCAGTGAGTCACAAGTTTTTCTTCTTTTCAAGAGAATACTTCTGTCCATATCATCTTCATAAAATATCACCATGCTGCTGTATTACTGAGATATTTACTTGATATTTGTTATAAGAATTTTGTTATATGTCTATTTCAGAGAATGGCTTTGAAATGTATTCGTGAGCTAAAGAATAGGAGGAAGGATGATAAAGTGCCCTTAATCTGTAAGATCTGCAAGGACAAGACATTTACAGCCAGTGCTACCCTTATGTATCACTACAGAAGCCATGCAGGTATGCACTCACTTTCATAGTCAATAAAAGAACTACTACATGCCGTTTATGCCTGGTGTGAAGTCAGGGGAAGTTGAAATATCTCTTTGTAGTAGTGACTGATGAGGGAGATAGCAAAAGTTGACAACCTGTCTCTATTTGGTGGAAACATATTTTTTTAGAATGACATAATATTTGTGCTTTGTAAACCTGCAATAACCATTACCAGATCTTTCGTCCTGTAATCCAAGCTGTGACTTTAGCCACTCTACCGAGGCATGAGTTGCATAAAATTCTGTTTGGTCTAGTAAGCTGATCAATAAAAAGTTATAGAGGTCCAAAACACTTGCATGATGTTAAGAGCCACATTCAGGGTTGTGTAGGCAAATGGTTTTGATTGGCGGTTCTACAGCTATATGAGGGCACAGTTGGCTAAAGCACTGCAATTTGCATCCTCTTGGGCATGCCAGAACCCTGTGATAATGATGATGGGTTTCAATCCCGGTTCGCCCCAAAATATGTTTCTAGGTTTGTCAATGCCATACCCATGCTCATGGGTTTCACCAAAGTGGAAAATGTCTATGACATGCATCACTTGTGGCTTTCCTCACACATGAACATGACATGCTGTAACATAACTGGAATACTGTTCAAAGGAGCATTAAATGCGACTCACAAAATCTACAGCCATAATTCACAAGTTTTGCACATTTGTACCACAATCTTGTGAACTACTTATGATGAATATGAGGCATTAATTCACTTTGAAAAACTTATTTTTTTTCTAATTTCTATCAATATCAAGCATCAACATTAATATTAAGATAAGACGTAGTTGTGAGTGTCTGTTGGAATATGACTTAGAGCGACTTTAAGATAAATGAAAACAATATTGTATCCTGTAATTTGGTATTATTTACAAAATGTTTGGCACTTCTTCCTCCCTTAAATGTTAATATCACTGAATACTGGCTAGCTTCTGTACCATAGTGCTCTGGTTTAATTCCCCAACATTCTTCGTTCCTGGTTTCATTGGTTTGGGGTTCACATTTTTGGCTACTGAGTATTAGTACCATATTTCCTTGATTAAATGCTGGGATCTTGTCTAAATAGTGGGTAGTTTTTATGCACGGAATTCTCCCTATTACTGAGGAAATATGGTATGCTACTGTGTTTAAATCAGCGATTAAATTGTCTGCCTTGTTGGTCTCTTAGAAATAGCTGACATTGACATGGGACTTCTTCACTGCTAACTCGTGCAGATATTTGGTGAACAGTAAACTATGTTGATGACAACCTGATGGACATGACAAACTTTTTTTTCCCTGACCATTTGCTGTATATATGCAGCATGTTTGCTTATAATGAATGCCGGTTATAACGAACTAAAATTTGTGATCCCTTTGAGTTCGTTATAACCATAGTTTACTGTATTTCCCATAGTCTGTTCTGTCTGTTCCAGGAATCAAACCGTTTGTGTGCCTTATCTGCAACACAACCTTCACCCGCCAACACAGCCTTAACTACCACATGCTCATCCACAACAACCAGAGTCGCTTCACGTGCAAGGACTGTGGCCGCAAGTTCAGACACCCCAGCCATTTCAAGGTCAGTAAACATTGTTTCCTTATAGGTTTTAGGTCAGTAAAAAAGGATTTCACCAAAAAACCTGTACGCATGTCTGTACATGGACACTAGTCAGTGCAATGAATTAGGGATTGGTATAGGGATTTATCTAGACCTGCTCAGAGACCTATGTTTGGCCCCAAGTCGGCAACCAATGTCAGTAAAAAATTCCAAAATGGACCTAAAAATGTCCCACTTCATGTTGTGACAGTTATTATGATGTAGAGGTGACTTGTGTTTAACTGCAATAAAGAGGATCCAAAAGGCTTTTATGTTTAGTTGTATGCTATTGCAATTAACCTAATCAAAATAACAGAAATCCCAACTGTAACGATTTGTTTCCCCTTTGCCTGCCAAGGGCACTGAGTTTAAAATCCTTGATAAATCCCTGTGGCATCAACCTAGCAATAAGCCAGTTTGAAGAAAAGTAAAGATATCCCAAAACTCTTTTATGGGTGCTTCATTTTGCTCTCAGTATTCATTGATTCATGTCCCTGCTGGACGTGGATTAATTTCCCAGTCTCTTTTTCCCTAAGAGCAGCATAACCCTACCAATGTGCCTGTTCCATTTCCAGGAGCATTTGCGGAGACACACTGGTGAAACCCCCTTTGAATGCATGGACTGTCCTCTTAAGTTCAAAACACGCAACACATACAAGCGTCACCTTAAGACTCGACATGGAAAGCTACTCACAGCCACAGGTATACGTATGCTGAGCAAAGAGGAGTTCCTCAAGGTACGGACCAAGCCCTACAAGAAGCTGTCTGGAGATGATGATCAAGATGACAGCAACTCCAAGCAGGAAGGGTCCGAGTCTGGTTCTCTGTCCCCTTGTGAAGACTCTACAGACTTTGCTGATGTTGGAGATGAGACGTCTTTGTATGTTCCACTTGGCATCGTTGTCAACTCCTAGTTTTCACAGAGGGTGGATGGGTTGATGACAGTTGGTGACAAGGAACTATGTGGTGCATTCATACATTCATACTGTTACAGTTGACAAATGGAATCAAAGACTAAGAGGAACTTCTGTGCCATCTGTTAGCCTTCCTTAAAAGGGCTTGTACTTTCCACACTGAAATGCACATGAAGAAGCAAGAGACAATTATTAGAGATAGACATCCTTCTTCCCCAAATATACCCTTCTTTTTTTCTTAATCCAGCAAATAATCACTAAACAGTTACTTCTTGTGGGACTATAGAACATAGTGCTTTGTATGTCAGTAAAAGATTGGTCCTAGATATCCTTACAGTATAACAAAAAGGATTGGGCTAAAAAAAATAATAGTCTTGGTTCTCATCATAAAGCCTGCTGCACCTTTCGTTTTTATTTCCATTAAAAAAAATAAATCCTTAAATATTCTGAGTTACGCGCACACAACCCAGACTGTGAAATGCTACAATATTTATAAACAATGCAGTCCAATAGAGCATGCAGTTACTTCCCTTTACATGCACACTGCTTGGCTGCACATCTGTTGTTGTGGTCATGCCGTTTGCAAATTTAGTCAATGAAAACTCAAAATTTATGATAAAACATCACTAGACATGATGATTTACAAATTCAATGGTATTTGTGTACTGTATGCCACAATGTTTCTTATGCAGAGATTAAGATTAAATGTGAATTTGTCTCATATGATAAGCCGGAAATAGCAATCAGCTGTTCACACATTTTCTCCCCTACCTATGGGTGATTTATAAAATACTTAATGTCATGGCCAATATCATAACTGAAAAGAAATGTCAATACAGTGATAGGAAGAGTTTGTATCTCTAACGAGTAATGTTCGTTTCAAGGCGAGTTCATGGTGAGTTGATGTGATTTTCCAATCAGTTGATACTCGATTTCTCTGAAATTAATGTTTTCAAAATTGAATGAAATCTTATATAAAAGTAATATAATGGATTACAAACGAAAGTCCAGATACACAGTGAACTCTTTTAAAGCCAGATAATGTAATAACAGGACTAACTAGCATACAAGTATGAACTTGTTTACATGCTTTTTTTCAGGTGTTGTGTGCTCATGGTAGCATCCTCACATTGTGAAATAAAATCAGAGCTCATTGCATGCATCTATTATGCTCACACTGGTAGTCCCAATGATAGTCAAATACAGTATTCCAATAATTACTCATTAAGGAATACATTTATGTAGGAAGGCCCTTTCCCAAGTTGATTGTACACAACTGTCTATTTGGTTACATACTAGTTTCAACACCCTCCTCCCCAAATAAAACCACAAACACGCCGCCTGCCCGAACTATATTTCAAAAGCCATTGTCTGAGAACCAATTCTTTTATTTTTGAAAGCCTTATGAAGGTTGATGATGAAATTTAGGTCTTCAGTGTGTGTCAGAAATAAGTCATCTTGTTTAGTTATTCCTTGGAGCTGTTCTATATAAGTTGCATAATCTGGTCTTTTCCTCACATCACATTGTTCCAAACTATAGCAGGTGTATGATATGGATGTCAAAATGATGTGTGAGTTACTTAATCTGTATGCTTCTGGACTAGATGAATTATTCCTGGTGGATTTATAATTGTAATTGTGACTGAGCAGCTCATCCATCCAAGACTCCATGTATTCCAAGACTTGTTATTCCCAGTGCTAATTCTGGTTTTGAACCAGTGAAAAGACATGATCACTTTATAAAACTGTAATTTTACACTGGATCAATCTTCTCAATTTTGGGCAGTTGAATGTGATGTCAAATTCTGTGAGAAATGAGCATCAAGTACATGTTGACCTCCAAGAGGAAAGGAATGCTGCAACAGTGTGTCCTGGTTCTGTGTTATGCAGTAGCATCAGTATTCTCGCCATGCTGACACTGTTGATAAACTTGCATATGTTGACACCACAAGGTGGATAGATGTGGTTCTTGACTGAGATCTGAAGTAGATCTGAAAATGTGAGATGGAGGATAAACGTGAACAATCCCAGCTTTGTGACCTGGACTGTCGGGGTTTGTCAATGGCAGTTTGGGTTAGGATTCATATTGCAATACAATAATCACATGGTATATCAGATGTGGGTATTTTCGGGTACAGTGCTACATATAACTGGTTTCAGATTATTTTGATTCATTTTGTAACAAAGGAACATACACGCACAAAACATCAACTCCAAGCTGTGACCAGGGGTCTGTTCCACAGAGCAATGTTCATGCTGCAACTGTTGTAAGTCAGCCATAGCCCTCAGATCACTTTGTGTAACGAGGCCTTGGTTATTAGTGTTTGTTTGTAATTTGACAGTGTTCTTCAACCATTGACTACTGGTTTGTCTGATCCAGACATTAATGCTGTAATTATGGTGAAACTGTTCATAGCTTAAACCAATACTAATTCCTTCACTCTCATTTTGACATTAAGGGGGCACAAGTTGCCCAGTTTCTAGGTTTGTCAGCACCATACCCGTGCTTGTGGGTTTGACCAAAGTGGTAAACATCTGAGACTTGCATCGCTTCGTAGTTTCCTCCCACATCAAGCTGCCATGCCGTGATATAACTGGAATACTGTTAAAAGCGGTGTTAAACCAAAGTTGCTCACCCATTGTAACATTTGGCTCAGGTATATTATTATTTCAGTACAAACTGGGTATACTTCAATCATTTTTGTTAAAAATATTCACATTAAATAACTTTCAAGCACATTGTCAACCGAGGTATGTGTCACACAGGTGTTTAGTTACAGGTTTTGAGCTTGGTAGGAGTTGATTTAAATATAAGTGGCTGTCAGATTTGATGACATGGTTGATTGCAAGTCATCATGCCCCAAAGAGGACATTGCTCATATCAACCTCTGGTTTGAATATTGCTACATTTGTGTAAAACAACAAACAAAATATACTTCATGGAAAATGTCAGCCCAAGCTGGTTAGTCCTGCAGACCAGATGTAACTGTCTTTCCAGCAATAGAATCTCTGGGGTGGTCTTCACAGTCACACAGCACAGATAGTTGACCTGGAAGGTGGCATTCAAGGAAATTGATGCATTTGGTTGTGCATTTTGTAATTAGATTTTTATGTAATATTTATACTTTTTTCTTATATTATTTCACTTCATGGGTGTTATTACATATTTTCAGATAGTGCATAAGAGGGCAATAAATAACATTTGATATCCTATTACAAATAATTTGTCTGAAATGTTTTGCTAAGAACTTGACAATTTTCATAATCACATATATTACATGCATGAGAGAACAACAAGGTTAAATTTGATCGGTACATTAATCCTGCTGTGATTGAAACTCAGGTGTGAACATATCTTCTCTACCGAAACATGCGAAATGTAAAATTACATGTTTAATATTGTTTGCTGAGCCCATATTGTCATCTCCTCTATAACTGTGTAGTTATTATGACCTGAGGTAATTGAAGAATTGGGCAAACATTCTTTGCTCATGTGTGAAAAACAAGGTGACCTTTGCATAACTAGAAAGATACGATTAACAATGTACTCAAGTTGGGTGCCAGTTGAGTTGTTATTATGGTCCCTTGACAACTAGAACTGATAACTAGAAGCAATTCAGAAGAAGTTTCAGATAACCTGTGTTGGCATGGTTGGAATAGTGCTTATTCTGAGTAAGTTTACACTCTGGTTCTGGAATTACAACTTGTTGCGAGTTGATTGCATTATAATATCGCCTTCAGTGGAACAGATATTGGCAAATGTTGAGACATATATGTGTTATGTCATGGCAAGTAATTTGAATTGTTTGATAGGCATTACTTAGAAGTTGACGGATGACAAATAGTAGAAGTAGACACAATTTATGGATAATAACTTCTTTAATACTGTAGAGGCGATGTTTCGGTATAGCTCCTTATACCATTGTCAAGCAAGGCTGAATGAGGGACATTGTATAGAATATATATAGTAGGTGGAGGACAATGTTTTTCATTCACTCTTGCCTGAAAATGGTGTAAGGATCTTTTCCGAAATGTCGCCTTTACAGTATTAAAGAAGTTGTTTTCCATAAATTGTGTCTACTTTGTCAAGTAATTTGAAACAAACAAAGAGATGTTTCATTTGCCTGTCACAAACAATAATGTACCTCTCCATAATCATGGGATATTTATGCAAATTAGCCAGCCTTCCTCATTTGTTGAAACAGTTTAGAAGTCGCCAGTGTTGAGTAAATATAGTTTTGTAACATTTGTACACACAAAGATGTATGTGAATCAAGTTTGATTGTTTATATCTTGTAACATCTATGTTTATATCTTCAACTTGTGCAAGCTGTTCATAAAATTAATCAATCATTTTAAGTTTGAAATCAGTTCAATGGTAAAAACTGTAGAAAGTCTTTGCTAATCTGCTGTGATGCTTTGTAACCCAGTGGCCATGTGTTTCCTATCACTGTAGTCTGATCAATCCCTCAATGCATACCCATCTATGATGGAACAGATCCATCCTCTAAATGGATGCCATTCTGGGTAGACATCAATACCTGAGACTTACAAACGCCATATGCAGTTCTGATTAGCAGATCTGTGCTATTACGACTCAAGAGACCAGACGTCATTTTATCTCACCTTGACCAAAAGGTTCTTTTTAGTCTTTTAGGACATTTAGATGTTTATGTATCCCTTGAATCTAGTGATACCCTATTTCCAACATGTCTTCTGACAGCACAGGGCTGAAATACTGTGTGCGCTCCCTGCATTGGGTCATCCGAGTTGATCTTGGGTTTGAATCAGTTTGACCCTTTACCCAACCATTTAATAATGCACGTCATTTTAGTAGTATATTCCGTGCATATGTGTGTGCATGCACACACACACACACACACACACACACACACACACACGCGCACGCACAAGATTTTGTTTATTTCTATGAAGAGGTCAGGAACATAAACACCTAATTCTATTTTGCATTATATGAGAAACTAATCGATCAATTGCTATATCGAATTAAAAAAATACTACTTACCAAGCAATTGATAAATTTCCGTATTATTGGAACCATGTTTGTTTCTTATGCCTTGTGGCTCACTGTTTTCTGAGTGTTGGCAGTGATGATAGGTTGCTAGGTGAAGATATTGCACTGGTTTGTCAGATCGGAATGTGGTACACTGTTTTCATTCCTCTGCCTTCATGAAATATGTGTTATCATTGCCTGTGATTAGTGAAATGGCAAGTATTTAACAGTCTTGAAGTGCTGATTGAACAAAGTTATGAAATTATATTTAATATGTCAATAACAGTGTAAATTGTTTTTTACAAGAGTATTTGTTATCACGTTATGACTGTTTTTTGTTTTGACTGACAACAAATGCTTCAATATGTGAACAGATGTTTTAAACACCTGATGGAGTAGGGAATCTAATCACTGTTTTAGAAGATGTCACAGCAAGGCCAGTAGATATTTGATTGGTTTGAAAGCAGTTATGCGCGGGTGGAATAAGTGCCTATTTCCGGATAAGAATCATTTATAGTATTTGACCTTGGCACACAAATAGGATAGGTAATGAAGACAACTGTTGAATTAATCATGCTACCTGCCAAGACTACCTTGACAAATTCATAGCAGTGCTTGTGACAAATAGCTGGATGCAGGGTGCAAAGTGAGTCACTAACTCCACATGGACATGGAAGGTGTCTTTTTGTGTGTGCTGCAGTCATTTTCATTGGAGAGTGTTACCACTGTTGTGCTACCTTTGTCAAGATACATTAATTTTAAGGAAGATACCAAAGTGTACTTTATGTAGAAGTAGCTAATGGACCAATCTCAAGATGTGACATGGCGGATGAGGAAATATTTGGTATCCACTGTCAAACAGGAAAGATATGTCTGATAAAAGTTTCTTTGTTTTCTACAGTCAGGAAGTTAGCATGTTTTTCATTTTTATGGAATATATATATGCCTGTTAATAATTACCTCTTCTGAAAGAAGAATTTAGTTCCGATTCATTTTTTCGCTAAAAGTTATTTCCAGAGATAAATCTTTTGTATACTATCTCATTTTGTTGAATAGTAATTCAGAATTACTCTTGGGTCTGTATCCCTAACTGATGTACATAAGCCTATGGGCATGCAGTTTATCTCACCCTGAAGAGGTGGATAAAGGTTGGGTTCTGTGGTGTTTTGGACATTGTGCGGGAGGAGAATGAGCCTGCCACCTGTATTCAACATTCACATGAACTGTATCTGTGATAATAATGACAATTTACCTTGATCAATGTATGTGTCATGTTACCTTATAGCCTAAAATTTACTGGAATCCTATATCAGATTTCATTGGATGTAAATATTCTTTTTGATGATGTTTTGTAACATGCAATATTGTAGAGTATTTTTCTACAAATTATGTATCATTATTGAATCATGCAAATTATTGCATCCTGTTTATATATTTTTCCATCATACTGACCTTATGGTATTTGTTTTCATCACATTTTGTTAATTTGTAAATAACAAGAAAACCTGTTGGTAATAAACAGCTACAACTATGTTTCATTTGTGCCTATTTGAGTAAGTGATAAACCTATTGGGGATTTAACTTCAGATAGATAAGTTGATCTATAGATTTGAAAGGATATTAGAATTAACATGCATTGGTAACCACATGTTTATGTCATAGCATATTTCAGCATCATGAAAACACAGAGTTTTTTTCTCCATTCTACCAAACTGTAGTACAATCTTGGCCCTCCAATATGGGCCAGTGAATGGAGCATGCCTGGAGAGCGTTTGATTCCCTGGCTGCTTCATACTGAAGGACGTTAAAAGAAGGTACTTGTTGTTACCCTGCCTGGGATTTGTCATTAATGTGATAAAACAAGGGCCAGTCAGCTCTTATACAGTGTGTGGGTGTGGGTGTGGGTGTGGGTGTGGGTGTGACCGGTATCCATGTTAAACTGCGACATAGTGTCTTGGTGGGTCTGGAATAATACATGCACAAAGCGTGCACATTCCCGTGTAAGTGCAATAATCTTGAACGGAACATTAAACCCCATTTCACCTCACTTTACCTTATACAATTTTGTTAACTGTGTGATATATGTTTAGTGACAAAAATGATCTTGAACTATATGGTTACACTACAAGTCACTAATGTTCGCATTTCTTTCTGACTATGCACCCAGACTTTTATATGTTCGAATAGAGATAAAACTTCAGTCAATGTCAGTGTATGCAGGACCAGATCGATTTATATGTGTATCTAAATACATTTTGTCCAGGTACCACAGGGTAGTAAATTTAGACTCGTCCCAGCCCTAGTTTCTAAGACCTATGGGTGGAAGTTATACAGTGTTGAATGTGAACAATAATAGATCAGCTGTTTGAACCTGATGCATGTTGATTTGAGACCTGCCCGCTCAATCACTTTTGGTAGAAGGGTACAGACACTGATATTCTCAAGGCTGAAGACTACAGTAGTATGCAAATGAAGTAGAACTCATTCCAGTAAAGTCCAGTCAACCAATTAATTGGAGTTTTATGTCAATAATATCAAAGAAGGGAAGAATGCACTTCATAAATTTAGTATTGGGGAAATCAAACAGGTCTTGGTATGGTTAAAATGCAGTGTCCCTTTGCATCTTTGAAACCAGGAGTCATCTGGCTCATGGGTACTGTGGAAAATACTTGATTATGTTTGGTCAATCAGAAGTTTCAAATCACAATAACCAGCTCAGATTGAGACAGCTGATTTGAGTGCCACATGACCGCAGAAAATTACTTCTTTCTCTTTTATTTTGAAATAATGATGTGTAGTCTTGTATGTTACAAACTTAAGAGTTGTTACTATAAAACTCAAAGTATGTGGCAGAAAACATTATTGGCAGAAAACATGATAGAAATGGAGTGTATTGCAAGTTTAAGTGACAACAGAGCATGAAATTGTATATCTGACGTCCAAGCAGGTTTCCGCAGGTTTCACTTGAAAGTAGAACCTCTTACGAGATACGAGATGACAAGATTTTTACCACGGCCCATGTTGTGCAAGTGAGAATTCCTCCCCGACCACACACCAGTCACAATAAAACAATATGGTTAGGTGGGTAAGTGAACCCTGTGTTTATTTCTATAAGAAAGGAACATTATGTACAGGACACTGTAAAAATACTGCTATTTCAGTGTGCTACATTCAACCAGAAACAGAACTGTGAGGACAGGTGTTGCAATGTTACAGAGCACCTGTCCTGGTTCTGCTATACAATCTCTGGACAACTGAGGTGACGAACATTTTGAGTTACCAAACATTTTTTAAACAAAACCAAAACGGTGACATATCAGGAAAATGGACCTTAATTATCATGCATCCTACAGACTGAATGTCCTAAAGCTGAAATTTAATCATTAAACTCAAGTTGATGCACGGAAAACCATATTTGCTTTCACAAAACATAGCTTGAGTCGTAATCACAGAAGACATATGCTGAAATAGTGATATGCACATTATAAACAGGCAACAGTAATACTGTGTCAAGTGCCCTCAGACATACAAACCTCATCTGCCAACACTCCCTAACAATCTAAATATGAACAGTGATCATAACTATTTATCAACCAGACTGATCAAAGTGGTATAACTCCCAATATCGACCAGCCAAGGCCTGACATAATACTTAGTTGACATGGTAAATATCTACATTGCTTGTACATGAAGGATATATTTAGTTAATAGTAAGAACAAGATTTTCTGACAAACATGATTTCTTAGAAGTCCCTGTAACAAATACATTTATGAGAAAATGGTAAAAGTTGATCTCCGTAAAAACAACAATCAGACCAGACACATACATATTATAACTGGTGTATTCAAGAGACATCTCAAGTGACCACACCACACACTGAATCAATCACTACAGTCGGGTTACATCCAGTACAATGTAGAGGTGTGTGCACATATTAAATATTCTGACCATACCAGTCATCTAAAGATTCATGACCCTTTCTTTGGCAATCCATAACTTGAAGGAATTTGGTTCCAGATAATTAATTTGGATATGTACCTAAGTCATACAAAATAAATATGTTGAGAGAAATATTTCACAAAGGAAATAAGCAAATTAAGTTTGAACTTATTCTAATACTTACAGTCATAATAAGCAACATCTTCCTTCATATTTATATACAAACATGTCATTGATGAGTTGGTACTGGTACAAGTGAAATCAAGGGGTGGTTGTACATGATTGATGCAAAATGTATTAACTAAATGACTGAGGAAATCGACATCTATTTGAAATACATTCCAAACATATCCTCCGACAGGTCCATGCTGCCTTCCATACAAGCCCAAACTCTGTATTCATATGCTGCCATTTATGCAGGTCTGACTCATCTGCTGTAACAGTTTAAATTTTTTTAACAAATGAAATGTAATCTCTCAAGTCATCGTTAAGTCAGCAGTGCCAACATTTTGACCTTATTTTCGACACTAAATAATTTCTAAATGTTCATCACTAGAGTGTTGAATATATGGTTTAAAAACAAACCACACTAAATATTGAGACTGACACATCACCCAGCCTCCTGGCTTCTCAGCTTACTAGCAAGAAAGGGACAAAATTTCAGCATACATGAATGAAGCATACATAAAAGTGACCTGTTCATGTCTTGTCCAACAAAACTTGACACAAACAATGCACTATTCGAAAACCTCTGGTGTGAAAGATTTGCATTAGATGTTTTTTTGTTGTTGTAAAGTTATTATACATTAAATTTGTCTTCATGTGACCTGTATTTTATTGAGAACAAAACATGACCACAACTCACAGGGTAAGATGGCAGATGGGAATACCCACTTGCACCTCTCTCCCACTTTCGCCTCTTTCCCACTTGCTCCTCTCCCAATTACATGGCTTTTCCATTTGCCCCTCTCTTCCACATACCCTAGACCCAGGTGTGGATCACTGACCTACTGACGTACAGTAACTTGTGACTTAGGTTATTATAATTATCATAATAGTAATATGGTAATAATATTACCATTACACTAAGACCCGAACATTTAGTGCAGCCTGTATTAGTTCAACTGTTTGATGTAATAACATATTGATGAGAGCTATCATGTCAAACAATATTGCGGACTATGGGCACCAAACAATTCTGATGAGTTATCGGTGTCAAACAATTCTGATGAGTTATCGGTGTCAAACACTATTGATAAATGAGGAGTCATGGGTATCAAACATTCTTTTACCAGTACTGAATACCTGAGCAAATTGGCTTTATTTTATGTAACAACTTGCCATTTGATAACTTATTTTCATATATATAAAACTTTGAATAAAACCATAAATACTATGTACCACAGACAGAACAGCTTAATACCAACACATTGTAACTGTGACGTAATGCACAATAAATAATTAAGCTTGGATTTCAAAACATAACAGTACACAAAAAACAAACACACAAACAGCCATTGTCAAGTAAACAATGCGGGGCTGCTCACGCTGCACATATAACAAGCGGGAGAAGTCATCTGTCGTGTCCACTGGTTCTTGTCCTCACTTGGTTGGCACCCAGATTCAGAGTGCTCTCCCTTCCCTTGGCCTCTGCAGAAAATATCACCTTTGGACTCTAACCAGTGGAATGACAGTCAAATATGAAAACACAAACATTTCAGTCAATGCTTAAAAGGCAAGTTTGCACAGAAGGACTTAACCAAAACAATTTTTTATTGTTGAAGAAAAGACTTTCTTTTAACAATTTACGTTTTATAGAGGGACGTTGTTTCATGGGCTTGCACGTATTTCCAGTTCAGATCCGGACAGGATGTTAATATTAAAACAGAGACATTAACTGCTAGACTAATATAAATATAATAAAATTTGCTAATAGCAAACTGAGAAAAATTGAGTCCTCACGTTAAATATTCTTTACTAAAATGAAAAAAAGTGTAGAAGTCATTTCCTTTTAAATTATGTTTGATAATCAACACCTTTTTTAAGCAAGTGATCAGTGTGTTAGAATCCACATTGAAACATCACCTCCACTGTAATATGAAGTTGTATATCCATAAGAATTTGTACTTGTTCAGCTAAATACATAGTTTCTTTTCACCAACAGGCCATCATTCAGTTTATCTTTAAACATACTGTCAAACATGTAACTAGTTCGTAAAACGCTAATGATGTCATGATTAAAGGGAGATAAACCAAACTGACAGACCTTGTGACAGTCCGTGCGATAACAAAATACGTCCCAGAAAATTTGATCCTGAAGATGTATGTCTATGTTTCAGCTTCAGATATGAGTGAGTGAGTTGGGTTTAACGCCGCTTTGAACAGCATTCCAGTTAACATGGGAGTGAGTGAGTGAGTATGGTTTTACGCCGCTTTTAGCAATATTCCTCCAATATCATGGCAGGGGATACCAGAAATGGGCTTCACATATTGTACCCATGGGGGGAATCAAACACGGGTCTTCGGTGTGACGAGCAAACACTTACACCACTAGGCTATTCCCACTGACCCAGTTATCGTGAGAGGAAAGCCTGAAGTGATCAAGATCTCAGACGTAGACCACATTGGTGAAACCCATGAGCACATGTATGATGCTGACAAACCTAGAAACAAAATCTGAGTGAACCGGGATTCGAATCGCAATCCTAGGTTTCTGGTGTGCCCAAGGGACACAACTCTGCTCAGCAAAATGCAATGCCTTAGACGACTGGCCAACCACTGTTCATATATGAATTAGGTTACCCAATTCAAATGTAAAGCCCTTTCTTGTGTTAACTTGCCCTTTCAACATTCGATCCTGATTTGGGGGAAATTATGCATGCTTTTTCACTCCACCTGATTAGCTTCTTCAAGAACAGAAAGTAGCATGCTATTGCAGCTCAAATTCCTGAGCATTAGATTGCAATATTGGTCTATACTGGTCAGTGGACTGATAGATATCTATCAGAGATATGTCCAAATAAGATGATCTGCCCTGTAAAACACACATGCCAATGCATATCAGATAGGGACAAAGGGACATATGGACATTCTACCATGACAAGTTACAATCCTGCATTGTGATTGGTCCATGAACAATAATGAAACACACATCACCACAAAATGAAGTATTTATTTGAAATCACTTCTTCTGCCACACCACCAGTAGTTGTCTCAAAGCCGCCTAGGTCCTTCCTTTGTAACAAAATACTGTGTTCTGGTTCTTAGATTAATATTAGTATGAATGAAAATATTTATTAGCAATGAAAAATAAATGACCATTTACTGTCTTGTTAAAGATGGGAAAGTCAAGGGATTTGGCACAGTGCAAGTCTATCGTGTACAGTGACATGACATTCAGATTGTGACAATACACTGGTGTATTGTTTGACAGATGTCATGATGTCATACCACAAATAGATTTCGAAAAGCATAGTGCAAGGTTTGTTTCATTTCCTCAAGAATCAACAAGTTTAGTCATGTGTGTAAATCATTTGCAATTGATGATCTTTATGTTTCCTATGTTTCAAGTAAACTGTTGAAAAAGTATGTATCACATAAATCTTAGCCCAAACAAACCTTGGACCTGATGTGATGTGATGATCATAGATCCCTGAATTCTATACTGTAACCCAAGTCACCAGTTTGCCTTTGTCATGGTAGAATGGAGATAAGCTTACTGTGTTTCCAAAACAGTTGTTACAAACTCTAATTTAAAATCATGTCAACATATTTCAAATCAAATTTATAGGTGACAAATCAAATTTGAAACCTGTAAACTAAACGCACAGTAAGTTTATATCCTGTCTGTGCCCTAGACCAGACACTAGCAGCCCCGCTTCAGACAGTCAGATCCATCGGGTGTGTCCATGTCGGCTCCGGTCAGTTAAAACTTTGACAGTGATATATACTACTCAAAAGAAGTTAAGGACCTTAAATTTATTCTGGCATGACAGATGAACTATAGAAATATGAAAGAATCGGGTGGTCCTTAACTTCTTTTGAGTAGTATATGTAATTGTACAAACTAATGGATATGTCATTTTCTCTATCAGCTGTGAGATACGGACTTCATATGCTATAACATCTGGCCTGTGCAGACTTCTCACAGAAAAGGTTTCTCAAAACCTGAAAACACAGCAACATTTGTGCATTTATCCATCGGTGTCCCATGAACGTGTGATATAACTTGGTGTACATAGATATATATATTCCATTGGTGGATATATACTGCATTCCATTTGACCTTCACACAACATACAAACAAACCAATCACAATTCACATTGCTTTTCAGTATAAACTGTTGATAATAAAGAATCAAGTTTGAACACAAATGAATGCCAAAGTCCGGTAATACAAGAAGAGAGTGTCTGGGGAACGAGAGAGCTGAATATAGTCACAGTGTCCATGACGAACAGGTTGAATACTGACGTGCTGATATGGATGATATACATACAGACATTGATACAGCTGTAACACTCATCTCTAACAGTACATAGTGCATAATGTTAGTATTGGTCAAATCAGGAGAACTATTCCTCTACTATCACAGTTGATACCAGCAGCAGCAGCAGCAGCAGCAGCAGAATCCATCACTCAGCTGATCAGACCTATATAGGGATGATATCTCACACTCCTCCAAACATAGCAGCAGCAGAATCTATCAGTCAGCTGATCAGGCCTCAACAGGGACGATATCTCACTCCTTCATACAAAGAAGTAGCAGCTCCCCGAATTCACATAGAGTTATCTCCCCTTGCACACTGTGACACTGCTGCACACCGAGGGTTATTAACATATTGCCGTATGTACACCTATGTTAGATAGTGGTATGCTGGCCTTACAGTGCGACCTGTTGACAGGAAGTACATGTCCGTCCATGAGTATTCCAACGATGATGCACAAGTCCCACCTTTGTCTACAGCTACAAACGGAAGCCCGTCTCGGCATCACAACTCCCTTGTTCTGTCTTTAAACAGGGAAGGGCGAACAAGTCCATGCTACTACCTATGTGTACTGGTTGGAATGTTCCGATATCACCTAACCGTCGCCGCCACCATTCTCGATAGCACTTGATACAAAGACATTTACACAGACAAAAGACAGCACGGAAAGGTGGGGGTTATTTAGGGAGCCCAACCCAAAGTCACATGATCTGCTGATGCTCCGTGGTTTGTGGACGGAATTGGGACTGCCAAAGTGCTGCATCACGCTCCGTGCAGACAAACAGCAGCCAGCACACAGATGCATCAGTGCCACACATCACACATTTCTCCAGGCTGTGTATATACAAGCACACGTCGACACACATGGTCATTTGGAAGCCTTCTTGCTGCCTGTTGCAAGACCGTTGGTTCCTGAGCCTGTGCGGGCCTTCACGGTGAGTTTAGAGTCTGAAACGGGTGTGACAGACAAGTGAAACAAGCTGCATCACAATATTACATTTCCGATGAGGCAAAATGAATTGTGTCATAAATTGAATATTCTTAGTTTGTTTCCAAGTTGAATATTACTCAAATCCATCTGTTTCTGTCTATTATATGCAGAGAAAGGGCCAGAACATTGTACAGGGCTGAGAGAGGGCCAGAACATTGTCTTTACAGGGTTGAGAGAGGGCCAGAACAATGTCTTTACAGGGCTGAGAGAGGGCCTGAATATTGTCTTTATGGGGCTGAGAGAGGGCCAGAACATTGTACAGGGTTGAGAGATGGCCAGAATATAGTCTTTACGGCGCTGAGAGAGGGCCAGAATATTGTCTTTACAGGGTTGAGAGAGGGGCAGAACATTGTACAGAGCTGAGAGAGGGCCAGAACACTGTCTTTACAGGGTTGAGAGAGGGCCAGTATATTGTCTTAACGGGGCTGAGAGAGGGCCAGAGCATTGTCTTTACAGGGTTGAGAGAGGGCCAGAATATTGTCTTTACGGCACTGAGAGAGGGCCAGAATATTGTCTTTACAGGGTTGAGAGAGGGGCAGAACATTGTACTGAGCTGAGAGAGGGCCAGAACATTGTCTTTACAGGGTTGAGAGAGGGCCAGTATATTGTCTTTACAGGGCTGAGAGAGGGCCAGAACACTGTCTTTACAGGGTTGAGAGAGGGCCAGAATATTGTACAGGGCTGAGAGAGGGCCAGAATATTGTCTTTATGGGGCTGAGAGAGGGCCAGAACATTGTACAGGGCTGAGAGAGGGCCAGAACATTGTCTTTACAGGGTTGGGAGAGGGCCAGGATATTGTCTTTACAGGGCTGAGAGAGGGCCAGAACATTGTCTTTACAGGGTTGAGAGAGGGCCAGAACATTGTACAGGGGTGAGAGAGGGCCAGAACATTGTCTTTACAGGGTTGAGAGAGGGCCAGAATATTTGACAGGGCTGAGAGAGGAACAGAACATTATACATGGCTGAGAGAGGGCCAGAACACTGTCTTTACAGGGCTGAGAGAGGGCCAGAATATTGTCTTTATGGGGCTGAGAGAGGGCCAGAATATTGTCTATACAGGGCTGAGAGAGCGCCAGAACATTGTCTTTACAGGGTTGAGAGAGGGCCAGAACATTGTACAGGGGTGAGAGAGGGCCAGAACATTGTCTTTACAGGGTTGAGAGAGGGCCAGAATATTTGACAGGGCTGAGAGAGGAACAGAACATTATACATGGCTGAGCAAGGGCCATAACACTGTCTTTACAGGGCTGAGAGAGGGCCAGAATATTGTAAAGAGCTGAGAGAGGGCCAGAACATTGTAAAGAGCTGAGAGAGGGCAAGAACATTTAACAGAGCTGAGAAAGGGCAAGAACACTGTACAGGTCTGAGAGGGCCAGAACACATGGCTAGCTACTGACCACTAGCGGTGCTGCTGGCGCTGTTCAGTGATCCTCGCCTGGCTGTCACACTGGACACTGGCAGACTGCCCATGGAACTCTTCCTGCAACAAAAACCAGTCAAGTCAGCCATACAATCCATGTTACATGTTACAGGTACCCTGTGTTGTAAATGCCACAACAAAAACATGTTACCCTCAAAACACATAGTCTCATTAAACAGACGCTGCACTAACCTGACTCCTGCACTGCTTGGAGCTGCTAGTGTCCCAGACCTCACTGCTGTCGCTGCAGGCTTCGTCATCTTGCTGCTACTGCTGCTGCTGCTGCCACCAGTGGCTGAAACATCATCAAGATGTACTATAACTTTCTGCACAAAAAAATTCTCAAACATTCCAATGAAAATATAAAGGTGGTAAGTATGTAAGACTTAACAGATTAAGTTATACAAGATCATTTAATTTTTAAAGTAATAAAACATCTCATAGGATTTTTAACAACTTAAAACAACAAAAATAAGAATTTAACATTCATAGGATAAACACAAAATTCTTCCAATGTTTCTGAAAGTGTAATTAATTCAAACCAATAAAAGCCATTGTTCACATCTAGGGTAAAATATGAAAATAATTATATGTAGCAAAAATACTAAGATAATATTTCCTAGCAAATCCAACGAGAAGCAACAGGGTGCAGGCTATCGTGGGAACAGATGGCAGTATCTGACTGGTACAGTAGGAAGTTCTATAGTACATCGGTCTCGTGGGGAGACATAGAGAGAGCGATTTAGGGCTCAAAACTGCTCTTATTTCAATCTCATTAAAATCAGATCTTAGTCCTTGCTACCGCTAAACAAATATCTGAGGCGGGTCACATCAGGCCGACCTTGCTCGAACTTTGACGGACCACTGGAATGACCAATCAGAAGGCAGCTTTCTCGTGCTTTACGGCTTTAATTTCAAATTGGCGACTACGCTTCGAAACATATTTTGACAAATTCTCGATTAAAAATTTGAAACCTGAACAAAAGAACATTCTGGAATTCTTGTATGGTTTTCAGTTGTTAAACCCGTAACTATCGTTCGGAATACCCGTGTTAAAGTTTTCGAAGATGCATGATTAGAAATCACACTCCGACTGTCACTTTCATGATCTGGTAAGCGACGCTCTGATTGGTCGGATGAAAGGTCGTTCTGAATCCCCTACTGGGATGTCCTCAGATCTTTGTTTAGCGATAGCAAGAACTAAGGTCTGATTTTAATGAGATTGGCTCTTATTTATACTATGTGTGCTTCACAATACCAAGACTCAAAATACAAACAAAATACATATACATTGACAGACACAGTTTGACACATAATTGTCTGAAAAAGGAGGTGCTAACCCCTGCATCCTTCTGTGGGTCCACCAATGCATGGAGCTCAGTTTATTAATGTGTGTGTAAGTGACAAGGTTTGTAGACATTACCGCTTGCGTCAAAACCAGAAGAGTCAGTGGCACAATCAGTTGATCCTTGACTGTGCCTACAGTGTTGTCGAGGACGGAGTGTCATTGATTTGCCTACAGTGTTGTCGAGGACGGAGTGTCATTGATTGCCTAGTGTTGTCGAGGACGGAGTGTCATTGATTGCCTACAGTGTTGTTGAGGACGGAGTGTCATTGATTGCCTACAGTATTGTTGAGGACACATGTATGATTGTATCTTTGTCTGCCTACAATGTTGCATAAGACAGTGTCTGTGCCTTCAGTATTGCAGAGAAGACAGTGTATCATTGACTTTGCCTATAATGTTGCTCAAGACACAATGTCACATCGTCATGGTAGGCTGCCTATTGATGGAATAGATCAAAAGCGGATGCACCTGTGTAGTGGGAGCAGATGACATGTCATAATTGCCATTCCCAGAGAGGTTGACTTGTCACAGTCTGTCAGTGTCTGTCAAAACTGTTTTATCTTGACATCAATTGCCTTCACTTCACCCTACCCCCAATCATCAAAAGAAATTTCACTTCTGTTCAAATCAGTATGCAAATAACTGAAATGAACAACACTGATTTTATGTGATCAAAAGGGTTAACAATCTGAATGAGGTGAGGTGAAATGGCGTTTAACATTGCATCCAAGAGTATTGCACTTATATAGCAACGTGCATGCACGTGTGTGTGTGTGTGCGAATGTGGCTGCTTGTACTAGTCCGGACTGATGCCGATTTATAGTGCTAGCCCACCTAGATACCATGCCACAGTTTAACATGAATACCCCACTCAGACACAGTATACCGACTCTGAGCCGACCAGTCCTTGTTTTAGCCCCTAAATGCTGAGTGCCAGACAGGGTAACAACAAGTACCATCTTTTGGTATGATTCGGCCAGGGATTGAAATCCGGACCTTCCGCTCTTCGGGCGGACGCTCTACCACTAGGCTGTCCAATCTGAATGAAGATTCAGCAAATAAACATATAAATTACTCAATAGTTGTTACTTTAATGTATTGCTTCATATGTTCAATATACTCCTCACTTCAGCTTTGTTTAGACAGTGTTCCACCTCCAATAATGCTCAAATTGGTAAATTTAAGGATACATAAACGTGTGTGCATTGCATTATTTCTTCTGGGCAAGTCCTAGAGGACCTTCACTAGGGGACGAGGCAGTCAAATTCCACCAAAGACCATGCAGAACCACAAAATTGAAAAATTGAAAAACAACAGAATCAGTTCAGCAGACACAATAACTGCAGCTTGAGGGCAGGTAGAAAACAACATTCTTTGTAAACCTCAGCACTGTTCCAAGACAGAAGACAAGGGAGGCAAAACAGAATATGGCATCATTGTAGTCTTAGACAAGCCTGGGTTACAGAGAGGAACATAATAATATGAAAGTATGTTTGCAAGTTCCACACTGAATGATTTCAAAGATTTCAGAATAAAACACTAACAGAATGACACAGAAGACACATATTCTCTATAAAGATGTGTCTATGAAGATGTGTGGAGTACTGAAAATACAACCAGGCAATAAAGAAGTACTTCGATAGTTGAAGACTCGACGCCAAGAAGAACATATGATCAGCCACAGAAACACAGGCAAGGGAGGTAACTGAATGAGGCGTAGCAATCAACAGAACATACAGCAAGCAATGGTAAATAAAATCGGAGCCACAGATCACACATGACTACACGGAGCTAGGGAACCATGTGACCACTGACCTGACTGCACTGAGCAATACACCGGGATTTTACACACTAACTCCTTCTTGGGCGACCCGCCCAGTTTAGAATCTAGCAACAACAAAGTGCTAGGTTACATATATATCATTGTGAGGCAATCAAGAAATCCATGCAATAATAAAAGAACATGTATTATTTTAATCAATTTTCTGACAATCAGTTTCTGTCTGACTTTTTTCTGTAGAGTGAGTTCATGCTGAAAACGTTTCACCTCTGGAGGGCAGGAAACAGTGTTTTACTTATGGATTCTGTATGATTCCTCATATGAGAAACAAACTCAGCCCAAAAGGCTGTTGATAAAGTGTTGTTAGTGTGCATGACGACATGCTGAGATTTCCACCAATGTTTCCCAGGTAGTAATGCATCTTGGTGTGTCTGACTTATGTAAATCATGCAGAGACCCTGCCTTGGAGGCATCTGAGCTCCTCACCCTTGCTGATGCCACCAACACCTACGCTGCTGCCGCTGCCACTGCCGCCGCTTGGGGCTACACGATTCATGCTGCTGCCGACAGGGAGCCCATCGTTTTTGGGCTTCAGTGGAATGCGACTTGGCTGTAAATCTATATGATCAAGATAACATTATCATCTCGCCCTGGATACCACATTGTATATCTAAAACAGTACTCAAAGAGTGCAATTTTATCTTCTAAATTCTCGAAAATAATTTACATGTGAGAAAATCATTTCAAGAAGAAACCATTAATGAACGTTATCCATTCAGAGAAAGCATGCAGCAATAGTTTACTATCCCATGCAGATCATATTCACTGAAAGGAATCCACCAACAGCAAGACTCAAGCAATAACCAAACACTGACACCTAAGATCCTGTACCGAAGATCCTCATACAATCATCCTGGAGCCCTGATGCAGCAAGATGCACTGTAGTCCAAACTCCTTCCTTATACACATGCAGGAAGATCCCAGCAAAGAATTTTCCCTTGAAGCATTAATGTACATACACTGATAATTTCCAGTTGAACATTCCATGAGCCATTCAAAGATTTGATTCCATAAGCTACAGAACAAAAGCAGGTTAGGGAACACAAGACAAGGGAAAAGATGGACGTGACAGTTCTGAGAACATGCTAAAAGTATCAGATAGAAGGATCCATCAAGTTGGAACACATGTATCAACAAGCATTACAAGCTGCTCAGTCATAGATGCTGAGTTGTTAAGAGCAGTGCCTTTTGGGATCTGGAGTATGGGTTGAGTATCTTAACATGTCCTTTGTCATTCACATTCCAGTTCATGTAGAAAGGCCTGTAGGGCTCTGTCATGCAGCTGGTTCAAGTTTCTTCAGAGATTCACCACAAGACTTGTAGAGATAAATCAGATGGCTTGTAGAGATTAATCAGATGACTTGTAGAGATCAATTAGATGGCTTGGAGAGATTTATCACTTTCATCAGATGGCTTGTAGTGTTCAATCAGATGCCCTTTAGAGATCAATCAGTTTCATTAAAAGGCTTGTAGAGATCCATCAGAAGGCTTGGAGAAATCCATTAGTTTCACCAGATTGCTGGTAGAGATCAATCAGAAGGCTTGCAGAGATCGTTCACGTGGCTTGTGGAGATCCATCAAAAGGCTTATTGAGATCAATCAGAAGGCTGGTGGTGATCAATCAGATGCCTTGTAGAGATCAATAAGATGCCTTGAAGAGATCAATCAGCTTCATCAGGCGGCCTATAGACTTCAGTCAGATTGCTGGTAGAGATCCATCAGAAGGCTTGTAGAGATCGCTCATGTGGCTTGTAGAGATCATTCACCTTTCTCAGACAGCTTGTAGAGTTCAATCAGATTGCTGGTAGAGATCCATCAGAAGGCTTGTAGAGACCCTCAGAGCTCCATCAGAAGGCTAGTACACAGCAGTTAGTCCGATCAGAAGGCTATTGCCACTTCATGCAGATCATGCACCAAGATATGTTAGTAACGATCTGTTGCCTCAGAGGGTCTGTTTGAGAACTGGCAGCCATTTCAAGCATGTCATGCAGCAAAGAATCCAAAAGAGTGGATTGATCACATTTGTCGGACAAAGCATGCAAAAAGAGGCGACCTCAGCTTACCTCGACGAGGGATTTGTGACAGTGATGGAATGGAAGTAGTAGATTTAGATTTGACCAGATGTGAGTTCCTCACAGTGGAGACACGACCCTTGACATCTTGAAACAATCAACACAAAGACAATCAACACTCCGCAGTATACAGCAGGGTGGCTTGACTCAGCTCCTGGATCAGTGATTAACAGCACACACACATGGACCTGGCCACAGGGAGCTGTAGCTGCTTGCTCACAGCGAACTAAGTTGGAAACTGTGTGACAGGTTGTAACATATGACTCATTTCAACAAAAACCTTTATATAGGTATTACCATTTACATCAGAATTATCTTGTGTTGTTTGTTTGTTGTGTAATGCTGCACTAAGCAATATTCCAGCTATATGACGGCAGTCTGTAAATAATCGAGTCTGGACCAGACAATCCAGTAATTGATATCACGAGCATCGATCCACGCAATTGGAATATGATGACATGTATCAACCAAGTCAGCAAGCCTGACCACCCTATCCCGATAGTCGCCTTTTACGACAAGCATAGTCACCTTTTATGGCAAGCATGGGTTGCTGAAGACCTATTCTACCCTATAATCTTCACGGGTCAAATTATCTTTCGAGTTGGGTTTAACACTGCTTTGAACAATATTCCAGTTATATCACGGCCTGTCAGCTTAATGTGGGATGAAAACCCAAAGTGATGAGGTCACAGACGTACACTGCTTTGGTGAAACCCACGAGCACGGTGCTGACAGACCTAGAAACAAAATCAGGGCAAACCAGGATTCAAACCCATGACCACAGGTTTCTGGTGTGCACAAGGGATGCAACTCTGCACAGCAAATCGCAGCGCTTTTAGAGAACTCGGACATCAATGCCCCCTGATTTATCGTGTCTTTGTGGACATATTCTAAAATATTCTATAAGAAAGTAAGGTAAACTTCAGAGCAGTAGGGTCGAAATAACGTGAAACACAAATACAGGATTTTTGGAACACACACAAAACAAAACACATACATTAGTATTAGGGCTGGGATGGGTAACTCGGGTACTCGGGTAGGGTGTGTACTGAGTTGGACCCGGATACCCACAGGACTACCTGGATCCGTGGTTAGTCCTGTGATATATTGTTTATCTAAAACTCTTATGTTTAAACTACAAGTCACTAACGTTTGCAGTTCTTCCTGACTACTACGCCCATTCCTTCTGACTTTTATATGTTTGAATAAAACTAAAACTTCAGTCAACCTCAGTGTATATATACACCAGATCGTTTCATACATGTATCTAAACACATTTTACCAGAGCTACGGTCAAACTTTTCCCACTCAGACAGTCTGTACCTACCTCTTGAGACCTACAGCGGGTACCCGGGTAGGGTCGGGTAATAGGGGGTGGGTAACCGGGAAGTAAATTTGGACTCATCCCAGCCCTAATTTGTATTTGTTCTTATTTCAGACAGTCAAGTCAAGATAAAAAATACTTTGTCTACTATGGACAAAATTCATGATAATGAGAAGCACATGAGTATGACATGCTGTTAGAAGGTTCACTCCGACAGTGTTACTTCTACAAGGACATACCACCTCTGAGCTGTGCGTACTTCCTCTACAGTACTGCCACAACACACTACTACCACACACTACTACCTCTACATCGATCACAACTCAAGGTACTAACATGCTTCAAACAGACATCATGCTGTATCTACTTGCTGCGAAAGAAAAGCAAATTATTGTTAGTAGGCAAACTGATACACAACTGAAACAACCAGTAGGATTAGGAGCTGTAGGTGAGAGTTACCTCCCCTTCTACATGCTCAGCCAGCTTTGTTGGCTGATGGGCAGCCTATAGTGGCATGTAATACACCGACAGATATCGCCAGCATCACTATACACTTGTACTACATGGAAGAAGATCACACATGGAATCTTGGCAAATTTCAGATACTGGTTATCAGGTGAATACTCTGTAGCAGGCACCTTATAAATAATTTCTCAATTTTGTTATGATTGGGGACCAGTTTGAAAAGTTTGAAGACGGATAAAAATCTTTAAGAATGGGTGTAAGTGTGCATGTGTGTGTGCGTGTGTGTGTGCGTGCTTGTGTGCATTGTTTTGTGTGCATGTGTGTGCGTGCATGTGTGTGCGTGCGTGCGTGCTTGTGTGCGTGCTTGTGTGCGTGCTTCTGTGCATGCTTGTGTGTGTGCATGTGTGGATGCTGGCTTAATGGCCCTGCAAACTTTCCATCTCACAAAATCAACTTACCTGATTTCTCAATGTTTTACATAATAACTTAACTAAACAAAACCTCTCCTACTATTACCACAAGATTGATAACGGTATCATGGCGAGTTGAGTAAAAGGCAGTTAACATCACCTGGCACTCAGATGTGTCTACCTTAGCGATGCCAACTCAAACTTCTCTTTATTGCAACAATGTATCTAAGCAGTATAAAGCCATGTGAAGTATTGCGATTGGACCACAACTTTGGAACTTGTCATTTCCTGACAAGAGGATTCTGAAAAAATTGGGTGTTCTTTAACTTCTTTGGAGTAATATACATGATTTTGTAACTTACTGTATCCTGTGTGTAACGGAGTTTATACAAACAGGGAAAGGCAATTTTGAAATGCAGGTTAATTCTGACAGGCCAAATCTGAAGCAGTGCATGATGCTGTACTGATGGCGCCACGCAGAGTAGGACTAACAGACAGAGACAGATAGCTGACAACCTCCAGTGCCTGGCACTGGTCTACTACTGTCTGCAGAGATCTACAGGGAGGGAGAGAGAGGCAAGATGGCGCACACGGGGAGCGCAGTTACCTTCTGAATGCAAATGGGGCGGGTATAGGAAGCCCGTACCTGGCACTGTAGGACAGAAATAACACGCATCCAACTTTCACTTTCTCGTAACTACATGTTGTCATACTGGAGATAGTAGATATGCTGGATTGACTGTGATAAAGAATTTTTTTATGTGTCACTGCAAACCAGTTAAGGACTGGTCATTTATTTTAGTGGGGACTGGTCATTGGGATTGGTCAAGGGCTCTATCATACTTTACTGACATCCCCTCCTCATGTTTTTGGCATTTCATTTTTTACATCCCCGCCTTGATCTGAACCAGCCCACCCTCCCCATAATACATGACCAGTCCTTAACTGTTGTAATTTCCTTGAACAAGTCAGCCAGTTAAAGTATCCACTGCAAAGTTACTGTGAATGTCACGCATGCTGTCTGGGAATTACTGAGACAGGAGAACCCATGTTGTTATCACAGTTATCAACAGGGTGACAGACATGTGTTAGTGACAGCCGAGATGAGGAAGTCCTTGTGAGTGGATGTACATGGGGATGTTAACATTGTTGGGGTGGTTTGTGATTGGTTATTAGTGAGAGGGGTCAGGGTTGGGAAGTGGGGACAGGGAAGGGGACGGGGTGATGGTATACAGGCAGTAACAGGGTGGGGTTTGGACTGGAGACATGTGACATTGATGGTTGGTTGGTTGGTTTGTTGTTTAACGCCGCACTCTGCAATATTCCAGCTATATGACGGCGGTCTGTAAATAATCGAGTCTGGACCAGACAATCCAGTGATTGATATCATGAGCATCGATCCACGCAATTGGGATCGATGACATGCATTAACCAAGTCAGCGAGCCTGACCACCCTATGCCTTTAGTCGCCTTTTATGACAAACATAGTCGCCTTTTAAGGCAAGCATGGGTTGCTGAAGACCTATTCTACCCCGGATCTTCACGGGTCTGACATTGATGGAGGCGGGGGGATTGGGTACAGAATCAGATGGCAGGTTGGGGTATGGGTCTTGAATGGGTGAGGAAGGTTGGGCTTCAGGTCCAGAATGAGGATGGCTGGGAGGTATTTGGGTCTGGAATGTTGGAAGAAGTGTGGGCTTTGGGTCCTGAATGAGGGTGGCACTGTAGATTTTTGGCTCTGAATTGTGGTGGCAGGGTGATATTTACGTTCGGAATGGGGTAGAAGGGGGATTTCCATCTGGAATGAGGGTGGCAGGGTGGGGTTTGGCTTAATGAGGCTTGGCATTGGATTGGATTGATATTGAAGGAGACGAGGTGATTTGGGTGAATTAGAGGTTCTCTTTAATCCTTCACTAAATCAGCACATAGAGAGAGGTAGAACTGCTGTTGAACTATGGAGTGAGAGGCTGACCCTAGAGGTGTAAGAGGTGAAGACAGCACTAGTGAACGAACTATTACAGGACATTTACAGAAAGGCCTGATGGGGAACACAATAAAAAAGCTTTTTAAAACCAGGTTTTGTAGATGACTTTGAGGAGTCAAGAGATCTAAATTTGGCCTAAAGTGTCAATGCTAGTTAATCTGAATAATCACACAGACTTAAATACTCTACTATTTTACAATCAGAGAATATCTGGTTACCCTAATTACATCAAGACTAAGATGGCTGCTAGCCCATCAAACCTTCCTTCATCAGTTGTGGATGGGGAGGCAGGGGTGAGGCTGTGAGGTTGGGAGGGTGGGAGGGTCCTACATGGACTACCGAGATACAGACATGGACCTAGCTCACCTTTAGAAGCATTCATGGAAGTATTGGAAGAAGATGAGGTACTTGGTGTTCGTTTGATTTCTTTGACATCTTTTGCTGTTTTACCACCTGGGTCACGTGCAAAACAAATGTTTGGTTAGAGCAGAGATGTAGCCACTACCATCAGTGTGTGAAATAGTCTCACAATATACCTGGCCAGGAGGGCCAGCTGGCCTTGAAAGTTTCCAGCCAGTTTTTCAGTTCAAATTTCACTAGTTTAAATATGAGAAAGTTGATTTTTCCAGAAATGTGATTCTGCGAAGGTATAAATAAAGTAAACCAAAATTGAAAATCACGAGTCAAAATTTATGAAAGGGGGCAACTCTGATCTTGCAATCTCGTTTCGTTACAGATATTTTTTTATTTTGATCAACTAAGAGGTGTGCATAAAGCAATCACAAGGGAGGGACATTTCAGAATCTATAGCCTAATCGAAATATTTCTAGAAACGTGCTAGCGGGCAGGTGGCTATTTCGCACACTGAATACCATGAGTGACGGCATCTGGATTGAACCTATCCTTAGATCTCAGCAATGATATGGATGCTACATGAAGGCAAAGGAAACAATCAACAACACTGTAATGCTGAGACACAATGAAAAGTCTCCAGAAAAAAGATCCTATTGTCTGAACTTAAACTCATGCAAGGCTTTTCATCATCTCTACTGAATAGATAGAAGGAACATGCGTCCTCGATGCAGATGATGGCGACCACATGCTCACCACATGTGATGCAGAAATCGGGAATAGCTAGGCAGGACATTTTGTCACAGTAAGCAGAGATACAGTAGTATGCCAAGCATCACCCGCCATGCATACTCACCTTTACCCTTGGGACCCGGTATTTTACTCGAACCATTATCTTTTTGTTTGGCAGCATTGCGCTTATCTCCCTTGGCTGCTTTGGCCTCTTCCTCCTTGCGTTCTTTTTCTTCCTATAAAGTGTGAATGAAAAAGACTGAGTGAATGTTGTATATCACAGTCAATAATATTAACTATATCACAGCATTTCTGTTGTTAACCACATCTGGGCCCAGCAATCAGACAGATCACATCTTGTAATCATCCAAACGTTTTGGCCAAACATCGGGAACTATTTTGCTGCCGAAATCTCCACAGATGACAAAAAGCTCACATCACATGGCACATGTCACCTGACTGCCCCTCCCCTGTGAACAGTGATCCCTCCCCGTGAAACGGCGACCCCCCTGTGAACAGTGATCCTTCCCTGTGAACAGTGATGCCCCCCTGTGAACAATGATCCCTCCCTGTGAACAGTGATCCCTCCCTGTGAACAGTGATTCCCCCCTATAAACAGTGATCCCTCCCTGTAAACAGTGATCCTTCCCTGTGAACAGTGATGCCCCCCTGTGAACAGTGACCCCCCACCCCCCTACCCCTGTGAACACTGATCCCTCCCCCTCAAACTCACCTGCTCCAGCAGCAGCTTCTCATGGTCCTCCTTCAGCTGGTCTTCAATGTCATCTTCAAAGTTTTTCCTCCGAGACAACTGAAAGAGAGATGTGACAATTTCAGATCACCTCTGTGTTATCACTGCTTTCACCATCTCTATGTGTATCACTGTGACATTGTTCATGTTTCAAAATGTATACCATCATTTCTTTATGTAACACTGTCATATCACCGCAGTGAGTCATGCTGTTTCATTATTTCTCTACATGGAACTGTTATAGTACCTAGATGTGTAACTCTGATATACTGCCACTGATTGTTCTATCCATAACGTAAAGTAAGGTGTTACCTACCAATGACTCCATCTGAACATGGATCCGGTCCAGCTCCTCCACTGCCTGAAACAACATCAATGACACCATCCGTTACTAGACTATATGAACACAGGTACCAACATAGCAAGTATTGGAAAAAGAATCCAGCAAGAAAATCACTTGCATCTTTGATTCTTGTTTGTCTATCTACTTAACTGGTTGCTGAACCCTATCCTTCATGGCTGCTGGACCCTACCCTTCATGGCTGCTGGACCCTACCCTTCATGACTGCTGGACCCTACCCTTCATGGCTGCTGGACCCTACCCTTAATGGCTGCTGGACCCTACCCCTCATGGCTGCTGGACCCTACCCTTCATGACTGCTGGACCCTACTACTCAGGGCTGCTGGACCCTACCCTTCATGGCTGCTGGACCTACTACTCAGGGCTGCTGGACACTACCCTTCATAGCTGCTGGACCCTACCCTTCATAACTGCTGGACCCTACCCTTCATAACTGCTGGACCCTACCCTTCATGGCTGCTGGACCCTACTACTCAGGGCTGCTGGACCCTACCATGAATGGCTGCTGGACCCTACCATAAATGGCTGCTGGACCCTACCATAAATGGCTGCTGGACCCTACCATGAATGGCTGCTGGACCCTACCATGAATGGCTGCTGGACCCTACCCTTCATGACAGCCGGACCCTAGCCTTCATGGCTGCTGGACCCTACCCTTAATGGCTGCTGGACCCTACCCCTCATGGCTGCTGGACCCTACCCTTCATGACTGCTGGACCCTATCCTTCATGACTGCTGGACCCTATCCTTCATGACTGCTGGACCCTACTACTCAGGGCTGCTGGACCCTACTACTCAGGGCTGCTGGACCCTACCCTTCATGGCTGCTGGACCTACTACTCAGGGCTGCTGGACACTACCCTTCATAGCTGCTGGACCCTACCCTTCATAACTGCTGGACCCTACCCTTCATAACTGCTGGACCCTACCCTTCATGGCTGCTGGACCCTACTACTCAGGGCTGCTGGACCCTACCATGAATGGCTGCTGGACCCTACCATAAATGGCTGCTGGACCCTACCATGAATGGCTGCTGGACCCTACCATGAATGGCTGCTGGACCCTACCATAAATGGCTGCTGGACCCTACCCTTCATGACAGCCGGACCCTAGCCTTCATGGCTGCTGGACCCTACCCTTAATGGCTGCTGGACCCTACCCTTCATGACTGCTGGACCCTATCCTTCATGACTGCTGGACCCTACTACTCAGGGCTGCTGGACCCTACTACTCAGGGCTGCTGGACCCTACCCTTCATGGCTGCTGGACCTACTACTCAGGGCTGCTGGACACTACCCTTCATAGCTGCTGGACCCTACCCTTCATAACTGCTGGACCCTACCCTTCATGGCTGCTGGACCCTACCCTTCATGGCTGCTGGACCCTACCCTTCATGGCTGCTGGACCCTACTACTCAGGGCTGCTGGACCCTACCCTTCATAACTGCTGGACCCTACCCTTCATGGCTGCTGGACCCTATCCTTCATGACTGCTGGACCCTACTACTCAGGGCTGCTGGACCCTACTACTCAGGGCTGCTGGACACTACCCTTCATAGCTGCTGGACCCTACCCTTCATAACTGCTGGACCCTACCCTTCATAGCTGCTGGACCCTACCCTTCATAACTGCTGGACCCTACCCTTCATGGCTGCTGGACCCTACTACTCAGGGCTGCTGGACCCTACCATGAATGGCTGCTGGACCCTACCATAAATGGCTGCTGGACCCTACCATGAATGGCTGCTGGACCCTACCATGAATGGCTGCTGGATCCTACCATAAATGGCTGCTGGACCCTACCCTTCATGACAGCCGGACCCTAGCCTTCATGGCTGCTGGACCTTGCCCACCTGTTTAATGGCTGAGATAACATCTCTGTCCTTCTCATTGATGAGAATCCTCCTGACACTGGCCTCCAGCTGCTGCAGCAAGTTGCGATCGTAGGGTAGTTTGATCAGCTGCTTGAGCAACGGTAACACAGTACACAGGCGCAACCGGATGTTTGCCACAGGATCAGACGTTAGTTCCAATACATTTTCAAAGAAATGCTCCTTGAAAAATGCTTTTGAATACAGTTCCATCACAAAGCGGCAAATGTCAATGAACAGACTTCGATGATGACAGCTTCTCCCACGACAGAAATCTGGAAAGAGATTTTTTAAATTATTTGGATCAACCAATCTTTACATTTCACATACAGTGATCATAAATAACTGAAAGAAGCTGAGACTATTTGTAACACAAACATATATCAAAGTTATTTATCTTCATGTCAAAGTTGCTGATCTCATGTTCAGATAGAAAGTGGATGAACAAGGACTGGTTGGCTCGGAGTAAGTATATTGTTTCTGAGTATGGTATCCATGTCAAACTACAGCATGGTATCAGAGTGGGCTAACTATAAAACTGCATAAATCTGCACCTCACACACGTTACATAAGGGCAATTATCTTGAAAGCGAGGTTAAAACTCATTTGGCCTCACCTCACCTCACCGTATCTCACTGACCTTCAATTATGTGAGCAATAAGCTCCTCTCTCTGGTCCTGTCTTTTCAGGTACCGCAGCAACACCAGCAACGTCCGTGCAGCCGCATGTCGCACAGGAATTGCTCTCTGAAACCAAAAAACAGGTTTTCCTTAATAAACTCCAGTGGATATTTCATATTTCACAGAGAAATGAATCATAATTGTGAACATGTTGCCTTTAAACAGCTGCACATGACTCTCTTGTCAACATGCCCACTTTCAGTGGCACCTATCGTTCAGCTACAAGCAGAAAGAGAGCACTCACCGCTGTGAAGAGTTTCTGGAAGAGGACTGGAATGACTTTATTGCTGATTGCATCACTGGAGCAGCACTTGGGCAGACAGGCCAGACTGAACATCAGCTCCTCCTGGGCTCGCCAGTTGTTGGACGTGAAGATGACACTGTCCGCCACCAGCAGGGCGGGAACCACCTCGGACAGACTGTGCATCTGTAGTGGGGAATAAAGCACATGTATACTACTCCAAATAACACCAGATTCTTTCCTATTAGACAAGAAGAAATAATAGTCATGGTTCTCAGGCACTGCCTGCATCATCAGAAGGTTACGTTTTTATTTCCATTTTTTTTATAAAAATATAAAAAATCCAAATACTTAAACACAAAGCGATCCCATATAGCACGCAGTTACTTCCCTTTACATGCGAACTGCTTTACTGTGCATCTCGTGTGATTGCAATAGCGGCAATAGGAGTGTGTATACATGTTTATGTAGGGAGGCCTTTTTCAAAAGTCAATGCCTAAGAACCAATTCTTATATTTTTTTTAAGCCTTTCTATAGTTGACATGGACATGACTCTAGATATACTGGTTAATACAGGGGGGTTACTGGAGTATGCTGGGGTATACTGGATGGATACTGGGGATACTGGAGTATACCCGATAGATACTGGTTGATAAAGGGGGGTACTGCAGTATACTGGGGTATACTGGATGGATACTGGGGATATTGGAGTATACACGATAGATACTGGTTGATACAGGGGGTTACTGGAGTATACTGGGGTATACTGGATGGATACTGGGGACACTGGAGTATACACGAAAGATACTGGTTGATACAGGGGGTTACTGGAGTATACTGGGGATACTGGAGTATACACGATAGATACTGGTTGATACAGGGGGGTACTGGAGTATACTAGGGTATACTGGATGGATACTGGGGATACTGGAGTATACACGATAGATACTGGTTGATACAGGGGGTTACTGGAGTATACTGGAAACACTGGAGTATACACGATAGATACTGGTTGATACAGGGGGGTACTGGAGTATACTGGGGTATACTGGATGGATACTGGGGATACTGGAGTATACACAATAGATACTGGTTGATACAGGGGGGTACTGCAGTATACTGAGGTATACTGGATGGATACTGGGGACACGAGTATACACGATAGATACTGGTTGATACAATGGGTTCCTGGAGTATACTGGGGTATACTGGAGGGATACTGGGGATACTGGAGTATACACGATAGATACTGGTTGCTACAGGGGGTTACTGCAGTATACTGGGGTATACTGGATGGATACTGGGGATACTGGAGTATACACAATAGATAATGTTTGATACAGGGGGTTACTGGAGTATACTGGGGTATACTGGATGGATACTTGGGACACTGGAGTATACACAATAGATACTGGTTGATACAGGGGGTTACTGCAGTATACTGGGGTATACTGGATGGATACTGGATGGATACTGGGGATACTGGAGTATACACGATAGATACTGGTTGCTACAGGGGGTTACTGCAGTATACTGGGGTATACTGGATGGATACTGGGGATACTGGAGTATACACAATAGATAATGTTTGATACAGGGGGTTACTGGAGTATACTGGGGTATACTGGATGGATACTTGGGAAACTGGAGTATACACGATAGATACTGGTTGATATAGGGGGGTACTGGAGGATAAAACAGGTCCACTGCATGCCATGCTTGTTGTAAGAGCACAGATAGAGCACATCTCGAGGAATAAGGATCAAGAGGACACAGGATAAACAGCACAGAGACATTGTGAAAAGAATTCATGAACTAAGGAAAGAAATCTGCACAGATACAATACTTAAGGAACAAAGTTCAAGATCATGAAAAGTAAGTGCTGCAATCAGAGTCATTGTTGATAAAAATATCTTTTGTAAGAGGATGCTTCAGCCATTCTTCTTTGTAAAGAGTATATACAAGGTTGTTTTTCTGTACAAAGAAAGGTACCTTGGCCTCAGTGATAGTTCCACTGCCGCCTTTAGCCAGCACTTCTAGAGTCTCCGGTAGACGAGCGATCATCGCCTGCAGAACCTGTAGACAGACAGACGGAGGACTACTTCTATAGTGTTATTATGGACTCGACAACCTTTGTCAAACTTGTATTTAAGTAACTTCAAGGCAGCATGGGTTGTATACTCCCCAGGGAGCTGAGAATAATTCTTGAGTGTACACTGATCCAGAGACCGGGTGTAATAATAGCGTTTTGAGCATGCCCTAAGTGGTGTGGAAATATGTGCAATATAAATAGCCTATTATTATCATTATTATTATGATGTTTATGATTATTATCATCATAACTTTAATTAATTCAATTAAATGACTGCATGTTTCTGAAACATGTCTTCATTGATATCAAGACCAATCATTCAAGGCTACAACTTCATAGCATCTGACCTCGATAGAATCATCTTTGAGTAGGTTCATGAGGTCCCCTTGAATTAGATGCACAGCACTCCCGAGTTGTTTGGATACCTGAAACACAAACAACACAATTGTAAATTAATACCACGTAAGTTAGCATGGTCATGTCATCATAACTGCAAGACATCTGAGTGATGAATTTCATGTGCAAACATATGTGTGAGATCGAATTCCAGGTCCGTGATTGGCTACTCCATGGTGATGACTACTTTCCTGATTGTATCTCATTGATAAGTTACTCGGGCTTCGGTCAAATTCACGTTTGTGTCGAAACTGTATGGTTTTAGAGTGTTAATATATGTTCTTCGATCTAATGTAGTTTGCATCATATGTGGCAGAAACTTTTGTAGAGGGTCAGACTAGGTGTGAGAAGTCTGTTGGATCATGAGAATAGATAAAATATGCATCAATTTGAGGCTAAAACGGTGCAAGTTTCAGGTGTGTAAGAAACAGATTGCTGCACTCATGCTTCCAACATACCATATATGTTACAACTTGCTTCATAACATATCTACATAACTTGGCTTGTTAGTATGGTTTCATAGGTAAATGGTATCCAGCAGTCATGTAGTAATCTCTATGGTCCTACCTCATGCAATCCACTGGCCATGGTCCGCCTCACCAGGATGTGAGGATCTTTGCACAGACCGCTGAAGGTGGAGAACAGCTCCGTCTTGAAAGAACGCGTCCCAACAAACAACACCATTGCCTGAAGTAAACATGACAAAATGTTTCAATGCATGTTCACTAAACTTTATCATTTGAATTTATTGACGGCTTCCATGGCTCAATACTGTCAGAGCTGTAGCAAAAATATCATCAGGACTGGAGGTCCACAGAAAGGTCCACAGAGTGTTTGTTTGTTTGTTTGTTTGTTGTTTAAGGCCACACTCAGAAATATTCCAGCTATATGACGGCGGTCTGTAAAATAATTGAGTCTGGACCAGACCCTCCAGTGATTGACATCAGATCTCTGGGGTCCAGAAAGGGGGTGAGTGAAAAAAATATTGCTGGAATATTGATAAAAACATTTTCAGAAAGGGAGTGAGTGAAAACGGTTTTATCAATATTCCAGCAATGTCATTGCTGGCACATTATGTGTAAGCCTTACAGATGTCAGGTGGGGGCACAGGTGGCCCTGTTTAAGGCACTACAATTCGTTGTGCAGAGTTGCTTCCCTTGGGCATACGCGAAGGCTATCATGGGTTCAAATCCCAGTTCACCGCGATTATGTTTCTAGGTTTGTCAGCACCATACCTATGCCCCTGGGTTTCACAAAGTGGTAAATGTCTGAGACCTGCATCACTTGGGGCTTTCCTCACACATAAAACTAACATACCATGACATAAATGGAATACTGTTCCATGCGAGCTAAACCCAGCTGACTCACAGATGTAAGGAATTCAACCTAGATTTTCAGCATTATGAGCACTGCCTCTAGGCTACCCCATCTAGACATGGCATAGTGTTGTTCTTGCACATAAGGGCTCTTCAGTTGCTCACATGTCAGTGAAATAACTTAAAATTCTGTGTGTAAGGACATGGCATAACCTTTCATAGAATCAGGGCTAGTGGCCAGCTACCTCCAAGGAGGCACCAGACGATGACGTCCTGTACTCACGGGGAAGTTGTAGGCACAGTTCCTCCTGCACTCCAAAAACTGATCCTCTTCCGCAAACAGGTCAGGGATGGCCATTTGCTGCAACACACAAGTCTTGGAGATTAGGAGGAATAGAGTCCAATCATATCGTGTATTTTCAGAGTAACAAACTTGCTCAACAAACTTGCTGCTTTTGTGGAAGACCAAAAAAATCATCCTGATGTGACCAAAAACAAAACTACTTGAAACTACTGTAGGACTGACACAAAGAACAACATAAGTTACTGTTTCCTTGGTCAGGTATTTGTATCTAGTGTATGATGTTTGTTCCCACCTTGGAGGGCGATTCCTTGTCCGAGTCCTTGGAACCCTTGTTTTTCTCTGACAGCCCGACCCGACACATTTTCCTGAAGTAGTCCACAAACCAGTGCTTCTGATCCTCCGATAGGTTGACTACAACACCAAGATGCAACACAGAATATCAACATTTGACTACAACACCAAGATGTAACACAGAATACAACATTTGACTACAAAACCAAGATGTAACACAGAATACAACATTTGACTACAACACTAAACTGAGTGTCTACACATCATGCAGTGCGTCAGTTGGGTGTAACACCGCTTTGTACAGTATTCAAGTCATGTCATGACATGCCAGCTTAACTTGGAAAGAGAACTTAAAGTGATGAAGGTGTCAAACGTTTACCACTTTTATGAAAATCTATGAGTACATAATAGTGCTGAGAAACCTTGGAAATAGGGTGAATCATAAATTCAAACCCACGTAGGATTCAGGCACACAAAAGGGATGCAACTCTGCACAGCAAATAGTGGTGCCTCGGACGACTGGGGGTCCTAGTGATAAGTTTGACATCACCAAGGGGCTACATACACGTCACATGGACAGGGTGAGGTGAGGTGAAATGGGGTTTAACGTCGCGTCCAAGATTATTGCACTTATATAGCGACGTGCATGTACGTGTATGTGTTTGTGTGGCTGCTTGTACTAGTCCGGACTGATGCCGATTTATAGTGCAAGCTCACTGAGATACCATGCCGCAGTTTAACATGAATACCCCACTCAGACACAGTATACTGACTCCGAGCCGACCAGTCCTTGTTTTAGCCCCTTAATGCCGAGCGCCAGACAGGGTATCAACAAGTACCATCTTTTAACGCCTTTAGGTATGACGCGGCCAGGGATCGAACCCCGGACCTTCCTCTCCCCGGAAGAGCAGTGGAGGCTGGACCATGTCTGGAGTAGTTTTCCATGTCTCCTACCCATCAGTGCATCATGCTCAGCAGTCATAATAGAAATCCACTCTCATTTCACTCTCATTTTACAACATGTGATTCCAGTTTAACTTTAACAATCATTTGCCCCCCCTACAGGGGGTAGCTGAAAAATTCTGTTCTGATGCATACAGCTTTAACAGTTTGTTGTATTAAGTACAATGCTTTCCATGCATACAGGCTGAACCAAATACATAACCAGACGGCATATGTTTGCAGGCAGTAAAGTGACTACTTCATGACAATGATTGGTTGGTTTGTTGTTTAATGCCGCACTCAGCAATATTTCAGCTATATGACGGCGGTCTGTAAATAATCGAGTCTGGACCAGACAATCCAGTGATTGACATAATGATCATCGATCCACGCATTTGGGATCAATGACATGTATCAACCAAGTCAGCGAGTCTGACAACCCAATCCCATTAGTCGCCTCTAACGACAAGCATAGTCGCCTTTTACGGCAAGCATGGGTTGCTGAAGACCTGTTCTACCCCGGATCTTCACGGGTTTCATAACAATGAACAAAATAGGCTACCATGCTGACATCAAGAGCTAACTCACTAACCCCAACAGCCATCCATGTGGACATGGTGTCAACTTTTGGGAAAGTGGGACCTTCCCTTGCCACTATAAAGAGGTGGGCAGGGTTCAAGGGGGGAAAGGAGAGCATAAAAGATAATCCAAGACAAAGAAGACCTTCAACTGCCACCACCAAGGAATATATTCATAGAATACATGATATAATTAAGGATGCTCAACGACTTGCCACATGTCATATACCCAACTTTGTAGGCATCCCTCATAAGAGTGAGTGAGTGAGTTGGGTTTAACGCCGCTTTTTAACGGCATTCCAGTTATATCGTGGCGTGTCAGCTTAATATGGGAGGAAAGCCCGAAGAGATGCAGGTCTCAGACGTTTACCACTTCGGTAAAACCCATGAGCATGAGTATGGTGCTGACATACCGAGAAACATAATTGGGGCGAACCGGGATTCAAACCCACAATCAAAGGTTTCGGGCGTGCCCAAGGGACGCAACTCTGCACAGCGAATCGCAGCACCTTAGATGACTGGGCCACCCGTGCCCCCTCTATCATAAGACTGTTCTGAGGAAGGACTTGAGCATGACAAAGGTTTCAGCACATTGACTCCTGCTCAGAACCAGAACAGAAATGGTCCAAGTTCTCCATCTCGTCCCAAAAGGTCAGACCTTTCACAGCCAATATTATGCTAACATGCTCAGGCAACTGCATGAAAACATCAAGGCTAAACATCAAGGTGTGTTGTTCCACCAGGATCCTGCACCTGTGCACAAGACTGTTGTCACCATGGCTGCAATGCAGTGAACTCATTGAACATCCTCTTTATACACCAGATTTAGCCCCATCAGATTTCCACCTTTTTCCAAACTTCAAAAAAGAATTGTCTGGCAAGCATTATGCAAATGATGATGATGTCATATCTACTGTGGAGGACCTTTTTACAACCACCAGGAGGAAGCCTTCTACACTAGTGGGATCCAGGCACTCCAGCATCATTGGCGGAAGTGTATGGACCTCAGAGGGGACTATCTCGAAAAATAATTAGCAACCATCTCCATCAAGGATCAGAACTTCTCAGCGAGCCTTCATAAACAAAAATGAATTCTGGGTTTCTTTTCCTTCAACAAATTACTCAAGCAGTTAAAGAAGCATACCTGACAAGCCATGGCAGAGTCGACCGAGTTGCCTAGCAACCACAGGAAGTGTGGAGTCTTCGGCCAGCATAGACTGTTGGCAGAACTTTGTCACCAGTGGAATGATTGTTGTGATACAGGTATCTGTTCAACATAATGGATATAATATTAAAACAATAATCACAGATCTGCAGCAATGACAAGTCCTCACACATAAAATTTGACTGAATGAAGAGAAAGAGGCACATGATGAAGAATGATCCATTATCAACTGAATAGTTTATTGAGAGGTAAAATTTAATTAAATGTGACATTTCCAGCTTTACATCTGCCCATGTCTAGAGTACAGTCCCCTTGTTGTTGTACGTACGTACCATCGTCTAACAGGCTGAGTATACTGACGACCGTCTCCAGTCCTGTGATGCGGACATAGCTCTCCTCGTCATTTGTCAACTCCACCAGCTCTGGGAGTATTGCACTTTTGGTGGCTTCAAGGCTGAAAGGAGTGAATGGGAACATGGGGGACATGCATATATAGATGGTACATATACATGGTCCCTGGCAATACTGACAATACATGTGCCACTGTGCAAAGGCATGTAGATACCCATGTAGATAGTGATAGAGTGAATAAAGCTTAACACCCCATCGGTAAATATATATCTATTTGCAGCAATAAGTAGTACCTTCCCAAGCTCAATAGTAACCGATCCTCCAACACCTCAACAGTACCTACCCGAGGCAGTGAGTGAGAGTACCTGCCTGAGCCCCTGAGTGACAGTACCTACCCAAGCTCAATAGTAACCGATCCTCCAACACCTCAACAGTACCAACCCGAGCCCCTGAGAGTACCTGCCTGAGCCCCTGAGTGACAGTACCTACCCAAGCTCAATAGTAACCGATCCTCCAACCCCTCAACAGTACCAACCCGAGCCCCTGAGACTACCTGCCTGAGCCCCTGAGTGACAGTACCTACCCAAGCTCAATAGTAACCGATCCTCCAACCCCTCAACAGTACCTACCCGAGCCCCTGAGAGTACCTGCCTGAGCCCCTGAGTGACAGTACCTACCCAAGCTCAATAGTAACCGATCCTCCAACCCCTCAACAGTACCAACCCGAGCCCCTGAGAGTACCTGCCTGAGCCCCTGAGTGACAGTACCTACCCAAGCTCAATAGTAACCGATCCTCCAACCCCTCAACAGTACCAACCCGAGCCCCTGAGAGTACCTGCCTGAGCCCCTGAGTGACAGTACCTACCCAAGCTCAATAGTAACCGATCCTCCAACCCCTCAACAGTACCAACCCGAGCCCCTGAGAGTACCTGCCTGAGCCCCTGAGTGACAGTACCTACCCAAGCTCAATAGTAACCGATCCTCCAACCCCTCAACAGTACCAACCCGAGCCCCTGAGAGTACCTGCCTGAGCCCCTGAGTGACAGTACCTACCGTGCCTACCCAAGCTCAATAGTAACCGATCCTCTAACACCTCAACAGTACCAACCCGAGCCCCTGAGTGAGAGTACCTGCCTGAGCCCCTGAGTGACAGTACCTACCCAAGCTCAATAGTAACCGATCCTCCAACACCTCAACAGTACCAACCCGAGCCCCTGAGTGGCAGTTCCAACCCGAGTCCCTGATTGATGGTACCTACCCGAGCCCCCTGGCCACAGGGTCCAACTGCTGACACATACACCCACGGACTTCGTAGTCCACATCCTGACACAGAGACTGGACCACTGGCAGGATCTCCTTCTTGATGCTGGAAGTAGAGAGAAATGTTAGCTAGGACAGAAGACATGGAGGTTCAGGATGGAGATGGTCAGCTTGGACAGAGGACAAGAAGATTGGAAGAGTGGATGGAGAAAAAGATACAGGGAATGGAAGCAGCTTTTAGAAAAATGTAAAACCAAGATCACATTAGCCTTTACTTTACAACATAAGACAATATCATCTCCAGCACACAGAACCAACTGATCCATGGACACTTGCCATCCTACAGTCTGAAGTGTGGGTCAGTTTCACACCTCCAAGTGAGGTTTGTGTACATGATTCTGTCAAAGTTGTCAGGGCAACCACGCATCTCATATATGACAATAACAGCTCCCATAACCTAACCACAAGCTGCCATATTATTCTCCACATTCTCCTACCAGACATGTTCCACCTGTACGTACATGAAGGGCTCAAATTTGGTGGCGATCTTGCCGAGTATCTTGCAGCAGGAGAGTCGCGCCTGGACAGCCTGGGACAGTTGACCTTTGGCCACTGCTATCGTCAAAACCTTTAAACAAGAAAGCTGAAGGTCAACCACTGAACATGGAGATGCATTCATCTGTACTCCAGAGAATCTGATGGTCAAAACCCCTGTCAATACATATGATCAATTTAATGTTAGGTAAACATGTATTCCATATATTCAGGAACTAATGTAAAAACAGCCTGATGGCCATTTCAATGGAAAAGTAAACACACAATCATGCATGTTGCACAAATAATGAAAACAGCATTAAAGCTGACAGCTGGTTACTGAATTATATTAACAGCACATCAAGTTAACATAAAGTATTGAAATACTTTTACCATTATTCACTGTCTACTTTTTGACAATTGAGAGTGGTTGTTCAAAATTCAGCTATGGGAAACCCCACAGGCTATGCATTGCAAGCAAACATATTTTCTTGTTGTTGGTCAGGGAACAAACAGCCAACCTTTGTCTGTCTAAAAGTTATTGAACCAGATTATTTTCCCTTCCGCCAAGCCCTTACTGTAATGCAATAGCCCTGAATGAAGCAAGTCTGGATTTTCTGAAAGTCTAGCTTCTGAAACTCCATCTCACTGGGGCTCCTTTGTCAATTTAGATGCAGTTGCTTGTTTGCATTAAAATTTTCAGAGAACAAGCATTAGTCTAAGGCTAACCTATGCCCTTATTGATAAAGAGATATCTGTCAAATGGACGTCAAATAAAATATAACAAACTTTAATTTGAGTGAGTGAGTATGATTTATGCCTCTTTTACCAATATTTCAGCTATTTCATGGCAGGCGATACCAGAAATGGGCTTCACATATTGTACCCATGTGGGGAATCGAACCCATGTCTTTGGCGTGATGAGCGAACGCTTTTACCAATAGGCTAGCCCACTGCCTGGCAAACCTTAAAGTGAGTGAGTGAGTGAGTTGGGTTTAACGCCACTTTTAACAGTATTCCAGTTATATCACGGCGTGTCAGCTTAATATGGGAGAAAAGCCCAAGTGATGCAGGTCTCAGACGTTTAACACTTCAGTGAAACCCACGGGTATGGTGCTGACAAACCTAGAAACATAATCAGGGTGAACCGGGATTCGAACCCACAATCATAGGTTTCTGGCGTGCCCAAGAAACGCAACTCTGCACAGCGAATCGCAGCGCCTTAGACGACTGGGCCACCTGTGCCCCCCAAACCTTAAAGAGCATGGCAGGTGATACCCAACCCTGTAATGTATAGAGGTAATTGGGTAATCTGAGAATTGAAAGTAAAGTTGACACAATACACTAAAACTCCGCTTCACCACAAGATGTCGCCTATAATATGAAATACATGATACATGCGGAACTGTATCTCAATATATAACAGAAATTACATATTTTAGTACTTAACAAACCAATAACCCTATGTTGCTATATACAAGCTGTGTGCTGTTTAAAAAAAGCGACGTAAGTGACTTCATCTTTTCTTTAAAATTAAAAATAAATTCATTTCATGGCCTTCGTGGTGTAAATCTGGCATACTGAGATACGTATTGTATCGTTACCAGTGTATCGAGATATGTATCATATCGTGGCATTTCATACTGTTGCACCCCTATTTCATTGTTGCATATTTATGTCCCCATGTAATTTTTGTCATTTGTCTGGATGCACGTTACAAATGAAACAAGCACGAAACCCGTTATACTTTTCATGAAAGCTGATAACTGTATACAGTTACTAGCAGGAATAGTTCCACTGCTTTGTTGTTTATAGCTGCAGGCCAAATGTTGATTATTTCCGCCAATCATGAATCCCCTTGTACTGCAGCCATACATTGATATGATTGTGGCTTTGATTTGTTGAAAAGTAACACCAAGAATCAAGCCCCTCTCCTACAGGCATATTAAGCTCAGAAGCATGTGTTCTTGACAGAGATGATAAAATAAATTATTTTTTGGCCTCTGTCCTCACAAATTTATCAAACAAAACACAAAACAGGAAAATAAATTACAAACAAAACACAAAGGTGGATCCAGAGGGGGGGTCCAGATTCCCCTTTTGAAAACCAAATGTAGTATGCAACCAAATGTTGTAGGCAGTAGGCAACCAAATGTTGTAGGCACTAAAATTAACAGAGAAAATTTTAATATTTTGGACCCCTCCCCTTTAAAAATGCTGGATCTGGCTTGGATACATGTGGAACCTTTCCTCGTGAGATGTGTCGTTTTTTTAACGTAAACTAGTCAAAATATACGACAGAATACAGTCTATCTTTATCTTGCTGCCAGGATATGGCTGATCCACCATTGTTAATGAAAGGTAACATCATGTGGTCGTTCTATTACAGCAATATCAATGTAAAGGTCTGAAAATATCACAAGTGTCTACAATATCAGACAATGGTGCCCTCAGGATTGCCAATGTTTGATGAAATCAGCTGACATTTACCCAAGACGATATCAAGCCATGTGGCCTGTATCCCAGCATGCCTTGCTGATCACTGTGTTGCCCTTACTGATGGGGTGAGGCGGAAGGTGGGGGGAGGGAGAGGGGTAGTGGGACTGGGAGCAGGTTAGAAAATTGGCACTAGTCCTGAGTCCGTGTCAAACTGCCCTATAATTAAGGTATCATAAATACTAGTTGAAATTTGCCATTGTTAAGGGTTTAGCTGTATGTTATCATTATAAGGACTAGTGGACTAAACATGTTGGTTTCTACTGCTGCGTGACTCTTTATTCACCTGATAAGAGAGAACACGCAATGTACTCGCTCTTGTATAACTCAAATAAAATTGTTCAAAAGTAACAATAATGTTATGGCGACTGGTGCCTTTGTTATATGGCTGAAATGATACACAGTGATGTGAACTTTTTAAATCATTTCCCTTCAAAGTAATCTATGAAGCAGACATATCTAGGGAGGCTAAATATCATCTCTGTAAGGAACTAAATATCATCTTTGTGAGGTACTAAATATCATCTCTGTAAGGTACTAAATATCATCTCTGTGAGGTACTAAATATCATCTCTGTGAGGTAGTAAATATCATCTCTGTGAGGTAGTAAATATCATCTCTGTGAGGTACTACATATCATCTCTGTGAGGAACTAAATATCATCTCTGTGAGGTAGTAAATATCATCTCTGTGAGGTAGTAAATATCATCTCTGTGAGGTAGTAAATATCATCTCTGTGAGGTAGTAAATATCATCTCTGTGAGGTACTACATATCATCTCTGTGAGGTACTAAATATCATCTCTGGGAGGTACTAAATATCATCTCTGTGAGGTACTAAATATCATCTCTGTGAGGTACTAAATATCATCTCTGTGAGATAGTAAATATCATCTCTGTGAGGTACTAAATATCATCTTTGTGAGGTACTAAATATGATCTATGGGAGTACTAAATATCATCTCTGTGCGGTACTAAATATCATCTCTGTGAGGTACTAAATATGATCTCTGTGAGGTACTAATTATCATCTCTGTGAGGTAGTAAATATCATCTCTGTGAGGAACTAAATATCATCTCTGTGAGGTAGTAAATATCATCTCTGTGAGGTACTAAATATCATCTCTGTGAGGTAGTAAATATCATCTCTGTGAGGAACTAAATATCATCTCTGTGAGGTACTACATATCATCTCTGTGAGGTACTAAATATCATCTCTGTGAGGTACCAAATATCATCTAGGGGGGGTACCAGGCCTCCAAGCAACAGGATTGTCCTTCAATATACCACAGAAGAGGAAGCTGGCAGAAAGATGAAATACCGGAACTCACATCTGACTTGATGACATCTTTTGGCAGCAGGTCGATGACATCCAACAGCGTGTCCAACCAGGCCGCAGCAACATCTGCGACATCACAACACACATTACACACATCGTAACTGAAACCCACTTGTAATCTTGTTCCTGTAATCACTAGAAGGACACACATACAATTACCAAAAATGGTCACCGAAGCATCAGTTCACATTATTTGCTGGGCAAAAAATAATGCAAATATTATTCTTTCAGACATGGATTTTTGTTTATAATTTTTATTTCTGTCAAAACGTAACACAATTCAAAGACTTTACACTGAAAAACCTGCAATTGGGATTAAAGGAACTGTTTGTAAACTTTGTATGGCAGGGATTTACCTGGGTTATTTGGGGGGGACAAGGGCACTCAAAGCCTCTATTGTTGTGGTCCCAGGTTAAAAAATGTACAGTATAATACAGTACTAAGCCACAAGTGATGTAAGATTGTGCATGCTCAGGGCTGTTAGTTAAAAAAAGATTGGGGATTTCCCCAAATGAAATAAATCTACAAGTACTAGCTCTAAAGCATTTTATGTATTTTCTTAAATGATTATACATGCAAATTTATTTTAAATGGCACCAAATAATGAAATAGCATTTATTACTCAACATGCTTATGAATTTCTGCTTCCCAGTGCCTACACTCTGTATTATTGTGTCCATTTTTAATTTCTGTATGTTTAAGATGCAGTTTTTTGCATCCGCTAAATCCCTGCTATATCCAGTGGAAAACAAAAGAAGTTCTCCGTGAAAATTAAAAAGTGTGTGTATCAATGATATAGGAAGGGCATTCAGTGAAGGGAAAGCAACTCAGGTATTGTGCCTAACACATGGCTACCCTGCCACCTGGGAGAGAATCAGGAGTAACAAACACCCTGCACTTGTGCAAATGCAAATGAGTCGAAATGACGCATCAAACTTGAAGGAAGAAATGATGAAGATGGTACAGAGTGTGGAACAAGCTCCCCGACATTGTAAAGAGTGTCCTGTGTGCTAAACAAGTGTAGTATAGGAAGGTGTGGTCTGGTGGACGAGGATGCTGTACCTGGGTCCTTGCTGTCCACGCTGCCCAGGATGGTCTGGAGGAATGTAGAGGCGTAGTTGTGGATTGGGACCAGCTCCCGCTGCAGGATCTGCAGGAACGCAGAGGATGCTGCCAACTGCATCTCGGTCTGGGCCACATGAAGCACCTCCTGGAATTATACGATGAACAATTAGCATTAGGTGGTATATAGGTTGGATATACTCCAGTCAGTTGAATGAAAGTAGGATATATTCCAGTCAGTTGTCTATAAGTAGGATATACTCCTGTCAGTTGTATATATGTAGGATATATTCCTGTCAGTTGCCTATATGTAGGATATACTCCTATCAGTTGTATATATGTAAGATATATTCCTGTCAGTTGTCTATATGTAGGATATACTCCAGTCAGTTGTATATATGTAGGATATACCCATCAGTTGTATATATGTAGGATATACCCATCAGTTGTACATATGTAGGATATACTCCTGTCAGTTGTATATATGTAAGATATATTCCAGTCACTTGTCTATATGTAGGATATACTCCAGTCAGTTGTATATATGTAGGATATACCCATCAGTTGTATATATGTAGGATATATTCCAGTCACTTGTCTGTATGTAGGATATACTCCTATCAGTTGTATATATGTAGGATATACCCATCAGTTGTATATATGTAGGATATACCCATTAGTTGTATATATGTAGGATATACTCCTGTCAGTTGTATATATGTAGGATATATTCCAGTCACTAGTCTATATGTAGGATATACCCATCAGTTGTATATATGTAGGATATACTCCTGTCAGTTGTATATATGTGGGATATACTCCTGGCAGTTGTATATATGTAGGATATACTCCTGGCAGTTGTATATATGTAGGATATACTCCAGTCAGTTGTATATATGTAGGATATACTCCTGTCAGTTGTATATATGTAGGATATACCCATCAGTTGTATATATGTAGGATATAATCAAGTAAGTTGTAAATATGTAGGATATACTCCAGTCAGTTGTATATATGTAGGATATACTCCTGTCAGTTGTATATATGTAGGATATACTCCTGTCAGTTGTATATATGTAGGATATACCCATCAGTTGTATATATGTAGGATATACTCCAGTCAGTTGTATAAATGTACGACATGCTCAAACAAGTTATTTATATGTAGCATATACTCCAGTAAGTTACATAAAGGTAGGATATACTTCAGTGCGTTTTCGATATGGTGGCCATACTCAAGTTATATATATGCATATTTTAACAGGCGGTAATTTATTGAGTGCATTACTGTCTTTTTAATCAATCTCCTTAATTTTATTTTAAAAAATTATTAATAGTGTTTACACAATTTCGGTGATGGTGAGTGTGCTGCATCATGCACAAGAAGATGGTACTCCACCAGCGTGCTAGAACACACAGGCCGGGGAGTCAGTGCTCGCACTCCAACACACGCACACAGGGGCCCAGAGGTGTTACAACGGACATAGAATGTGCTAGATGAAATATTTGGGTAGAATTGAAAATAACTCATGAAATATTATGACAATATCTGGTTACAGTCTGTGTATCAACATCCCCTCAACAAACACGATCTACACATGATTAGATTCTAGTGCTATTTCAAGAACGTGCAGGAAATCCAAATACCCTGGAAATAATATTTGGCTTTCTGAGGGTTGTGTTTCTACAACTGTAAAGGCAGAAGACCTGCCCCACCTGTTACAGCTACTGGCGTCACGGGATCCGTCACGGATCCATGTTGTGTCTCACCCAAACCCTCCAGCCTCACAAACACACAGCTTCTTATAGCAAAAGAAACCTCTCTCTCCCTCTCTCATTTGCTTGAGAGACTAAACCAATGATGTCTAGAAAAAGCAGTTTTACTGATTCAGGTGTTTGTTGTTAAATCATCATCAACAAGAATGTTCAAGAAACAGGAATAATGAAACCAAGTAAGGTAGAACAGACAGAACACACACATCATATCACATATCCCGGACCTGACTAACACCAGTGACATTCTATCCAGAAATAACCCAGAACTAGGAACAGTGTCAAGTCTTGGTATGAATTCTATATTTGATTCCGTATGTCATATTGGAGACCTAATTGAATCACTCCTGATTGATCCTATGTTGTTGTAGAGATAAGGTGTTTGTTGAAGCTGAGAATGGCAGGCAGCCAAACAGTTAGATGTTTCTAGGGCACTAAGACAGGATAATGCAGTACTCTTTCCCAATGTACCTGCCAGTCTTCCTCGTCGGTCAGTGTCGATCGTGCAGACTACAATCACCAGGTTACATGGCTTAAGGCATCAGTCACACCAAGTACAAGGCTACCATCAGTCACACCAACCAGGTACAAGGCTACCATCAGTCACACCAGGTACAAGGTTGCAGTCAGTCACACCAGGTACAAGGCTACCATCAGTCACACCAGGTACAAGGTTGCAGTCAGTCACACCAGGTACAAGGCTACCATCAGTCACACCAACCAGGTACAAGGCTACCATCAGTCACACCAGGTACAAGGTTGCAGTCTGTCACACCAGGTACAAGGTTGCAGTCAGTCACACCAACCAGGTACAAGGTTGCAGTCAGTCACACCAACCAGGTACAAGGCTACCATTTGTCATGCCAACCAGGTACAAGGCTACAATCACTCACACCAACCAGGTACAAGGCTACCATTCATCACACCAACCAGGTACAAGGCTACCATCCATCACACCAACCAGGTACAAGGCTACCATCCATCACACCGACCAGGTACAAGGCTACCATCTGTCATGCCGAACAGGTACAAGGCTACCATCACTCACACCAACCAGGTACAAGGCTACCATTCATCAAACCAACCAGGTACAAGGCTACCATCCATCACACCAACCAGGTACAAGGCTACCCATCACCCACACCAACCAGGTACAAGGCTACCATCTGTCATGCCAGCCAGGTACAAGGCTACCATCACTCACACCAACCCGATACAAGGCTACAATCGCTCACACAAACCAGGTACAAGGCTACCATTCATCACACCAACCAGGTACAAGGCTACCATCAGTCACGCCAACCAGGTACAAGGCTACCCATCACCCACACCAACCAGGTACAAGGCTACCCATCACCCACACCAACCAGGTACAAAGCTACCATCCATCACACCAACCAGGTACAAGGCTACCATCAGTCACGCCAACCAGGTACAAGGCTACCCATCACCCACACCAACCAGGTACAAGGCTACCCATCACCCACACCAACCAGGTACAAGGCTACCATCGCTCACACAAACCAGGTACAAGGCTACCATTCATCACACCAACCAGGTACAAAGCTACCATAATCTATATCCAGTAGCTTAACACTAGAACTACTGGGCTACCATCAGTCACATCTTCACCAGGTTCACACCAGGATCTACAGGGCTACCATCAATTATATCCATCAGGTTACGGCCAGGATCTAGCAGGATATTCTATTTCAAATACTTCACCCACCTCAAGATCAGAATTTACCAGGCTATCATCAAATATATCACCCAGACTAAGATCAGGGTTTACTACAGTCAAACACGGTTATGTCGACGTTGGAGGGCCCTATGCAAATACTTCGAGTCATCTGAGGTTCAACACAACTAAAAATGATGAATAGAGAAGGAATATGCAGGGACCAAGCTTTTACTTCGAGACAACCGTAAGTTCGACACAACAGTGTTTCACTGTATATCACTCAGTTTGAGGCAAGGATTTACCAGGCTAAGTCTCCCGAGGACCTATTCCACAAAACAATCTTAATGACAATACAATCATTACCTCTCTTACTTTAACATAGACATTTGCAGATCTTAGCAATGACTGTGGAATGCGGACCTGCTTAAGGCCAGGAACCAGGGTTACCATACATAATTAACATCAGCCCACAAAGCTACTATTTGTTACATCATCCAGGACTTCATCAGCTACCTCAGCCAGATCTACTGTCCACTAAACATAGGCCAACTGACATACCATTCCACCAGCACACCCATGTGTTGACAAATCAAGCACCATTACTGCTAAACACCTTCAGTTCCTGATGTGGGGTGATTCTCTACTGAGGTGTAAAGCCATGCAGAATGTTTGTTTTTTACGGAATGTGAGGGAAAGGAATCTGAGCGAGGAGATCTCCATGATGAGGTTCCAGATTCCCAGATAATCTGGCGCCACAATTTTCCCTGATCAGGACCAGCCCTCTCCCACACAATCCCTCCCTCCCCCCCCTGTGCCTGACCTCTCATCCACAGGTAAACAAGCTAAATGGTAGCTCCAGGTACTAACAGGTCTTGCAATGCTGTATTTATGCAATGCTTATACAATGAGTGAATGTTTTTTCTAAGCTGTTGCAGAGAAGCTAGCTTGCACCAAAATGTGCAGTGTAACACCTTAGGACATCCACACTATCTGAAGGCTAACTAACATCCAGAAGGACTTGTCTACTGTTGTAGGATAATAAGGCCATAAATTTTGTATTTGTTGGATCATGGATCCGTCTTCCCAACTTTCTTCATAATTGTGAAAAATAATAATCCAAATTTACTTCTATGTTCCGCTGACACGTCATACATGCAAAATTATTTTGAGATGACTCAGTGTCTTAAAAAGATCATCTATAAAACTTATGATGCTCTATTTGACATAATGATTCTGCCAAATCATTCACTCAGTAAGTCGGCGTGAAATTCCTTCCACAATGAATCTAGAGTTATGTCCCTTGCCCTGATACACAGATTTTGCTGAAACTCCCTTTGTCTTCCAAAAAAATGGCAAAAAGCAAAGCTTCCATCAGGTGATGGCACTAAAGATGGCAAATCGTTTCTTTTCTTCTCCTTCTTCCCTCCCTTCAGGTAATGTTTGTAAAAAAACATTCTATGATCCAGTTTGAAAAAGAAGTTGATGTCAGCTTCCCTCCTATGAATTCTGACTTCTACAAAAAAAACATCTGTGCTCCAACAAATGAATGTCTATTGCTTACCACCATGCGTTCTCACATGTCCAAATTAATATTTTCCCTCAAAACACTTTTCAACTAATACTTTCAAGACAGTCTTAAGTATATTAAAACAGTAAGCTAATTTAAAGGTATTTAACTGTCTGGTAAAATGATA